ATAATACCAGGGCCAGGGATTTAGCTAAGTGGTTCTGCTGCCTGCCTTGCAAACGGAAGGACTGGAGTTCGATCCCCGGTACCAAAAAAAAGAAAATAATACCCTGTATGGTTTCCATTAATCCTGAAGCTGACTGACTGCTTCCACTGTCTAGGCACAGCAAACGCCCCACTCACCTGGTGATCAGGCTGTGGCAACCTTACTCCTGTAACAAAGCTATGAAACTAGAAGTAGCTGAAACCACTGGAAAAAGTGGCAAGAGCAGCCACAAGGTCTGTATCTCAGCCTGCAAAACAGGACTGGGACCTCGCTATAAACACCTCCACACCACGCTCTGATTCCTTCCTCCTCACTACTGCGGGGTGAGACACAGCAGCATGGCCCGGGACCCACAGCCTACTACCTGGTACACTAAGGGATCAAGGCAGCTGCAGCTCGCCCTGCTGGACACTAGAAGTGGTGACACTGAGGACCGACTGGCCTCTGACAATGAGGAAGGTCCATCACGGGAGGACAGGAGAAGAAAACATGTAAAAGCAGACACAAGAGGGCTAGGAACCATGTCTGGTGGGAGAAATTTGAGCAACTGGGTGGAAGGAGTCAGGAAGAAAAGTCAGGAGCATGGGTGGTGGCAGGGCCAAATGTTCAGAGGGAGTCATCAATTTCACAATTCCTAGGTAAATGATGACTTTAGCAAGAGTCATTTCAGGAGTCCACTGGGGGCAAATATCAAGGCAGCAGGGAATGGAAAAAATGGAAAATGAAAATTAAAGTCAACAACAGATGACTTAAAAATTTCAAAGTAAAGAGGAAGATAGGGAGGCCAGTGTGGACAGTGGTGAGATCTAGTATTGTCAAGAAAGGGAGGATTTCCTATCCTATAGAAGATCCAACATGGCAATGAGAGGCAGCTGCTGTGGGCAGGGCTGCAGGCAACAGGGGCCCAGGGACGGTGTGAATGGGGAAGGCAGCACAGGGCACCTGACGCAAAGGGATGCCCACAGCCTGGCACATCCACTCAGTGGGACACTATTCATCCATGAAAAGGAACCAAGTGTCCCACCCTCCACTTGTACACAAGGGAATGAAGTACTGACTCACACTGCAACCTGACTGAACTTGGAAAACATACTAAGTGAGAAAGGTCCATCACAAAAGGTCATGTAGCATGTGGCTCCATTCATATGAAATGTTCAGAAAAGGCGAATCCATGGAGACCAGAAGACTGGTGGCTGCCAGGCCTGGGGCAGGGAATGAGGAGTGACTGCCACTTGGTGGTGACGAGAATATTCTGAAACTACTCAGAGGTTGTGGTTGTACAACATGGTAAGTGTATAGCGGAATGTCACTGAGCAGTGTACTGTAAAATGGTTCAGACAGCAACTCTTATGTTACATGCACCCCCCCACGCACCCAACCCAAGGCAACAAGTACCTGTGTGAGCACATACAGCTTATAGCAACTGTAAAACAATCTTCATAATTCTTGAGTTGCAGAAGGTAAGTTATGACTACTCTTAGACTGAATAAAATAATTTCATAGGATTTAATCTAATATATTCTCTTTTAAAAGACAGGACACTGGGGCCGGGGATTTAGCTCAGTGGTTTTGCCACCTGCTGTGCAACCGCAAGGACCCGAGTTTGATCCCTGGTACCAAAAAAAAAAAAAAGACAGGACACTTGAGCTGGGTGTGGTAGGGGACACCTGTGATCCCAGGACTCAGGAGGCTGAGGCAGGAGGATCACCATGAGTTTGAGGCCAGCCTGGGCTACATAGTGAATTCAAGGCCAGCCTGAACTACACAGTGAGACCCTGTCTCAAAAAAAATCAACCCCCTCAACACCAAAAGAAGACAGCACACTCTGTATGTGTATGTGTTTTGTTTTATTTTGTTTTTTCAGTACTGGGGATTGAACTGTAGGCCTCTGCACTGAGCTACATCCCCAGTCCTCTTTTTAGGGGGTACTGGGGATTGAACTCAGGACCTTGAGCTCACCCCAGTCCCTTTTTAAATTTTTATTTCAAGACAGGGTTTTCATAATTCACTAAATTGCTTGGGTTGGGCTTGAACTTGCAGTCCTCCTACCGCAGCCCCCCTGAGTGTTGTGATTACAGGTGTGTGCCACACCTCCTGCTCTGTGTGACATTTTATTAAGACTCCTGTCACTGTTGATGCCAGGTAAATCAAACACTTCTGCTGCTCAAAGTCCTAACTGACCCGAACCGTTGGCCCTGCCCTTTTAGAATGAAAACTAACCTCAGGAAGGAGACCTGAGAAAGACTTTCAGCTGGAGAGAGGAGTCTGACGTGGATAGCAGGCAACACAAGCTGTGCACATGCACAAGCTGCGCCTGGCAGTCAGGTCAAATGAGGTCCTGCCTCCCGCCCGCTCTCAGCCCAGGCTGTCCTTGAACTCGGGAACCCTCGTGCCTCAGCCTCCCAAAGGCCAGGAATACAGGCGAGCGCCACCACGCCCAGGCTCAAATGAGGTTTCTAGTAAGAAACAGCAACTACTATCACTGAAAACAACTGCTTTCTAAAACAAAACAGTATTTCTGCCAAACACTATGGCTCTGTATATATTTCTAACAGAGCTGACCAAAAGTTTGATTTAAGTGCAGAAAGTAGCTAAGTGAAAATTCATAATTTTATAGAAAGAAACAGCACTCTACAGTCTTGGGAATGACACAATATGAGTAATAAAGCCTGATGAATTAATCAATTTTCTATAAACCAAGATTGCATCTAATCTTTCTCTCTCTCACTCTCTCTCTCTCGATTGAACCAAGTGTCTTCATATTGAGCTATATCCCCAGTCCTTGTTTTTCTTCTCTTTTTCTTTCTTCTTAAAATTTTGAGATAAGTTCTCGAAAAGTCACTAAGTTGCCAGGTGTGTTGGCACACACCTGTAATCCCAGCACTTAGAAGGCTGAGGCAGGAGAGAGCCACAAGTGTGAGGCCAGCCTGAACTACACAGTGAGACCCTGTCTCAAAAAAAAGAAAAAAGAAAAGAAAAAGTCACTAAGTTGCCTAGGCTAACTTGCATTCCTCCTGGCTCAGCCTCCTGAGTGCTAGGACTACAGGTCTGCCCACCACACCCAGCTATTCAGTGCCACTTTTAACTATTCCCATCAACCCAAGCTTTCAGGTTTTAGTTCACACTCATTTGTCACTTCTGAGTAAAACACCAAAAACACAAATGGTAGAATGACCATCTCATTCTTTAAAAAGCAGTCACTGTTTTAGCTGCTCCTTGCAGGCACTGTTCTTCTAACACCCTTTCCAGGAGAAGCCAATAGATATCCCTCTTGTGAAGAGAACAGAGCTGCTAGGATGCAGAACTGCCCAAAGAGACATGAGGTCTCCTGAGCTGCTTCTGGTTCTGAGTGATGGAGACAAGATATGTAATCATCAGTCACAGTCTCAGCATGAGAGGGTGACCTCTGTTCCCAGTTACGGGATCCACCTTTCACCAGAGACATCCAGTGACAGGAGAGAAAAGAGACAGGACAGACTCAGCACTTGGCTGAAATCCCTCTATCCCAAGCCCTAGCAGACACACTGAGTTTGAGGATGCCAAATGTTTACAGCTCCAGCTTGCGCCAGGAAAAAAAGAACCTCTTCAGGTCAAAAAGCTTCCGTTTCTCATGAACTCCATTTTTTTCCATGCAGTGACCTTACATAAGTCAACACGAATTGATTCTTTTCCAGCCAAGTCAGAAGACAGGAAACAACTCTTGACTCTACTCACTAAGGGATGTTGACTGAACAACTATCTTCTTTGTGCTTCTACTTTTTTACAAATGAGGACAACAGCAGATTAATAGAATTGAGGTAAGGATTGAGATAACAGCTGTCATTTAATTGTGCATGCCAAACAGTAAGAACCCATACATCAGCTGCCATCAACAACAGCACCACCACCACTGTGGAGCCCAGAGAGGTGGCACTTCTCTCATGAAATGAGAAAACTTTGGAAAGCTGTAACAAAGGTTTTAAAGTCTGAAATCAACTCTCCAAAAAGTGCTTTCACCACAAAGGGCACCATAGTCAATCCAATGACCCTAAATTCCTCCATCCCAGGTGATAATTAACATTTGCAAGGTATAGCATCATGGGGAAAATCATTGTTTCCACGGTAGTCCACAGAAAGAATGAATGAACACATAGCAAAAGTCTCTAAAAACATCATTCCAACCTGCTGCTCTGGGGTCAGCTGTGACTAACAATTCAGCAGTTTGATTCAGCTGTTAGGAACACAAAGCAGAATACAAAATCCTGCATAATCAATGTTCCATGTTTAATCAACTTCTGGCAGAAGCCTCTGTAATTTAACTATAGAAACAATGGGTTGTGGTGCCCTCCAGTTATAACCCACATTCCATTTATTCCAATGTACATCCGTGCACATACTGTGTATTCAGTTTCACCAGGAAATGATAAAACATTTTTTTAATTTAAGGGAAAGCAGTGTTCTATTTAAAATCAACCGCGAACCCTAACAAATCCATAATATAGAATCTATTTCCTTAAACCCAATTTTGATAAAAGACAAAAATCTTGAGGAAAAATAATTTGAAATCCAAATAGTAGTAAGAAGATATTGTCCCTTTCCATTAAATGCTTTGCTGTAAGATCATCAATACAGACTTTTTCACTACTTGCTTGCAAGATCCAGTTTTCTGTGTGTGTTTTTAAATGGACCTGTCAATTCACTCCTGCCCTAAATCCTACTGCAAAACACTTAAAAACAGAGACACACTGGGGCCAGGGATTTAGCTCAGTGGTTCCTGCTCCTGCCTCGCAAGCACAAGGTCCCAAGTTCGATTCCCGGTACCAAAAAAAAAAAAAAACAGAGACACACAACACAGGTGACTTGAAATCTCATTTGGAATGACCCAGCCAAGCGGAGATCTCCAAGTTGCTTCCAGGTGCACCACAAACAGCAGCAGACATCAGCAGGCAGATCTAGAAACCCCACACTAAAGGTCCACTGACCTTCTGATGACTTGTGACTTCGTCCCTGCTTCTCCCCAGCTCCTCAGCAAGTTTGACGTTCTCTTCCTGCAACGCTGAAAGCTGCTGGGACTTCTGAGCTGCTGCCTGCTTTAGGGTTTCTCTGCAAGGACAGTGAGTGCAGGGTTACCATAGAAACAAGACAGGCAAGGAAACTGTGGGAGACAACCAGCTTCACAGCACTGAGGAAAACAGAGCTGGTCACGTGTCCGACAGGCCCTATAACAACAGGAGACAGTGTCATCTGCATGCAGGAGGGGCCACATGGCTTTAACCCCTCAAAAGGATGGCCGCCCACAGTTATTACATTTTTAAAAACCTAATAAACACTATACCCATCTCCTTCCCACCCCCACACACTCCATACAAGAAAGACTTCTGCTACAGAATAAATGACAAATGAGATGGTCAGTATAGCAGTCCTGTCTTTAGGAATACTTCCATAGATAATTACACTAAAATCTACATTGATAAGTGATTTAATTTGCTGCCAAGGCAGTGTTCTAGCTATACAGATCTGTATTCTGCTTTACTTTTATGGAAAAAAAAGCCAATGGTTTCATTTCCCATATCAGTCAGAGTCAAGTGCTGATGTGAATCTGAGCATAGTTTTAGGACACCTCAAAATGAAATGCCCTAAAAAAGGTTTTCTAATTAAACAATAGGTGTTTTACTTTCATGGCATTCTTTCCACAATGCTAATTTATAATTAAAAGAAGAAGAAAAAAGAAGCTAATAAAAATATAATACAGCCTGCTAATCTATGGGTATCAACATATAAAATATGAACACATATATGAATTTATAAATATCTTCCGATTATTAAAATCAACCCAAAATACACATTTTAAATTATCATCCTTTACACGTAGATATTCAAAATATTTTACTTGATCACTGGATTTTAGTTTTATGCCATAGATGGTTTTGATGCAATTATGAATTTTAAGTAAGTTTGTGCTGGATAAACTCTACTCCACAAGCTGTCATACATGGCTGAATTCTGAATCCAGTCATCTGGGTATGAATCCATCTGCTGAGGCATGAACACATCTATTTTTAACTTCAATTGTCTCATGGGTGATGGTGCTTGGCAGCTTCAATTTTCTCCGATTTTTCATTCTCCACCTACCTATAACGTGCATACTGTGATGACCTCATGGAGATTTGGGGAGATAAATCTCTAAAACCTCTCTTGGCCCACTCAGGCTTTTTACAGAGAAAAAAAGAAGAAAGAAAAGAAAGAAAAGAAAAGAAAAGAAAAGATAAGATGGGAGGAGTATTACCCTCAGGTAATTAGCCATTCTGAAAGAGTCATGGGGGCCAGAGATTTAGCTCAGTGGCACCTCGCCTGTCTTGCAAGTGCAAGGTCCTGAGTTCAATTCCTGGTACCACAAAAAAAAGAAAAGAAAGAGTCATGACTTTAATTATGGATCCATCTATTATCAATGTACCCATCTGTATCTCTCTCTCCACATACACCCCACAGCTAAAGTTCACTTCCTGGCAAAAGTCCACCAATCCTTGATAAATCAGACGATCAGCAATCATCATAAGCCAAACACTGTGGTCACTGCCTTCATGGGGCTACCTAGTTTCAGCATTTGTGTGGCCTGATAAATGATATTTGTGCTCCTCTTCTATCCCTCTTAAAGGTTTTTATCTTTTCAAGTTTTTTAAACTCTTAGTTTATATTAAGATCTTGTAGTGAGGAAAATTAAAATGAGGAGTCAAAGAAATAATCCAAAAATGCCCAAAATGTCTTTAAGTATTGACCTATGAAAATGCTGTTTACTGTTTTAAAAATACGAAATGCTTTCATGTGCATTTTCTCATTTAATCCTCAAAGCACAGGGAGGCTGTTATTACTTATATTTTAAGATGAGAAAATCGAAGCTCAGAGAATTTGCCCCAAATCCTAAAATCAGTAAGTAGTAGAATCAAAGAACCAGAGTTACAGTTGGCAGGTGATTCCAGCACAAGGGCACACTTCAGTTTCTCTCCAGGGGGTCGTGGGCGTGTGCATTTCATGAAGGAAAGAGACTCTCACTGTTCCAACTCTGGACAGTCAGGCATCAGTCTGAAAACACCACAAAAACGTTTCTAACAATTTTTTTTTTTTGGTACCAGAAGGCAGGTGCTGTGTCAGCCATTTCTTTCTTTCTTTCTTTTTTTCAGATGATACCTGAAGCCATCTGCAAATCCCCGGCCATTTCCAACAATTTTAAAAAACACTTTTTCTCTCTATAGGACAAGGTGTCTTAAAACAAAAAAGTTGTTTTTTTTGGTTTTTTTTGAGACGGAGTCTCACTTTGTAGTTTAGGCTGGCCCTGAACTCATTATGTAGCTCAGGCTGGCCTCAAACTTGAGGTAATCCTCCTGCCTCTGCCTCCCGAGTGCTGGGATTATAGGGGTGAGCCACCACGCCTGGCTAAAAAAGATTCTGTAGTTTAAAAACTGAGGGGCAGGTGTAGTGGTGCATGCTTGTAATCTCAGCATTTGGGAGGCTGAGGCAGGAAGATCATAATGTTGAATTCAAGACCAGCCTGAACTACATACTGAGACCATGTCTCAAAAAACTAAACCAGCCGAGGATTTAGCTCAGTGATTTCGCCACCAGCCCCACAAGGGCAAGGTCCTAAGTTTGATTCCCAGTATCAAAAAAAAAACTAAAGTACCCTGCCTCACAAGTGCAAGGTCCCGAGTTTGATCCCTGGTACCAAAAAACAAAAAACAAAACCCCAAAACACTAAAACAAAAACAGAAAACTCCCCAATACCAAAGACTAGTGAAAAACCACTTTATTGCCATTCTCCAGTTCAAACCAGGAGCAGGCTAATTAAAATCAAGGATTTTTCTAAAACCAGCTTAGTAAGTACCACTGAGGGAAAGGGAATCAGTGACAAGTACTGACTTTCAGTGCCAAGGAGAGGATTCCTATTAGAAGCCCAGGCCACCCTAGTGTTCCTTTCCTCCAGGACCCTCAGTGCCATTGGGTGAGGAGAAACAAACCACAATACATCAGAACACGAGGAGCCCCACACACAGCCACAGAGCTACAGGAAACCAAACAGCTGCTCATCCTCCAGCCTGCGAACCAAGGAGCACGACTAAGGACCACAAGACAACTGCACTGAGAAGCACTGTTCCTGTCACACAGTCCTCTGACAGCAGACAGCCCCCCTGAAATGTGGTCACTCTAGAGGACAAGTCACAGGGCAGTACCTCCCAACCACTGCCCACGCTACCCTCGCCAAGCTTCTATGGAAAGCCACACATATGCCTCAGGGTGTCTGGGCACTGACTAGAAGGTGGGATCCTCTCCAGCCTAGTGGGTAGGAACAAGGCCGAAAATCTAAAACAGGCCCAGCTCAGTCAGCAATGGGGCTGCTCCCTCCCTCCTGGGGTAGCACCATGGAGGTGATGGTGATAGCAGCTAGGGTCAGTATTTTACTCCCAGGCCTTTGGTTCTACAGGCATGAAGTAAACTTTGACTCACCACTGGAATAATGCTAGGAAGGGGGCACAAAGTTTTCTCCCTTTTGTGGGGGATGCTGGGGATGGAACTTAGGGCTTTGTGCCTGCTTGGCAAGTGCTCTACCCGTGAGCTGTACCTCTGGCCTGATAACCTCTCTTGATGGGGATGAGACCAACCCCACACTGATGGGCAGGTTTGGGGAGGACTCTGACATTAAAGGATGATCTCACTGACACAATGAGATTCCTCAGCAGTAGTGCTTGTAGTGTCACCTAAACCCCAAGAGCTCTCTCCACTTGGCCCTGCCCCTCCATTACCTAGATTGGCCCACACAGCTCAGGAGCGGGGCTAAGACAACAGGAGGTTGGTCAGAGAATCTTCTGCTGCTCACAGCCTTCCCCTCCAGCTGCCTGTATGACAAAAGAACTAAAGCCAGCTCAGTGTTCCAGAATCCTCAGGGTTAGCGTGACTACTTATGTCTCAGGGAAAATATCCAAAACTGTAACTGGACACACCCTATTTGAATTTAACTGAACTGTTATATTCCTACAATTGAGTTGTTTTGCCTGTCACCATGACCAATTATCTATTGCATTATTGGGCTTTGGTAGGCTAACGGGTTTTTTTTTTGAGACAGGGTCTTGCTATGTCATTCAGGCTGGCTTCGAACTCATAGTGATCCCCCTGCATCAGCCTCCCAAGTGCTGGGAATTACAGGCATGGGCCACCATACCCGACATCCAAAGAGATTTAAGATTCTCCCTAAGGACCCTTACCACACTGTGAGTTTGTAATAACATAGGCCCTTGCCTTGCCTCCATTTTTTTTTTCCACAGAATGTTTTGTTTTGGAAATATAAGTTAATGTTGCTGGGCTCCTGCCCAATGTATCAAAATGGTTTGTGACTGTTTGAACTCTGTGACCTTTCAAGAATGTTCTGTTAAACTCTGCCCCCTCACAAGAAGGTTCTGTTAAGCTCTGCCCCCTCTCAGGAATGTTCTGTAGCTCCACCCTTCTGCTTCAGGAATGTTCTGTAACTCCACCCCGCTGCTTCAGTGAGCATGCTCCCCTACCCTGTAAGTCCCTATGTAAGGAGGCTCTCATTTCTGGTAGAGCACTTAGACTCCTCTGAGGCAGCCAGGACTTGCCAGTGTGATAAAAGGTTTTTCTCCACCTCTTTAACTGACCATCGGATTCTCGAGTCTTCAAAAAATGAGAGCTGCGACCCAGAGCTAAAACTCAGCTGTGCCTCAGATCTGCATTTCTGAGCTGCCACACTGAGTTGTAAAGCTCAGCTGTGCCTTCTAAGCTGTGGCACTTGGCTACAACATTGAGCTGTAACACTTAGGTATTGAGCTGCTCTGCTCTGCCGAAACAGTGGAACTGATAGGAGCTTCTGAGACATTGTAGGATACCATGAATATCGAGACTGAGGATGGGATCAATCACCAACAACCTGAGCTGGGCATCTCCTCAAGTGAGCAGCTCAGATCAAACTATTCCTAGAAGAGTCTGAGTAACTTTCAGAAGAGAGAGACACACACTAGTTTAATCCAAATGTGATGCACAAACGGTACTGATGATGCTTACTTAGGAACAGCAGCTTTGAACCAATGCTTTTGTTTTTGTTCCAATCTCATGTTTTATTAAAACTAGAAATAAATGATGTAAAACTGAAAGGTAGGGACCACAGACATTTATCTGTGCACCCTTCCAGCTGAATTAGCGTGAAGGACGCACATACCCACGTGTTCACCAGATTAACTGGTGTTAAGATTTTTAGGTTCAAGTGGTCCACACAGTGAAGTTATTGAATAGAAGACCCAATGAAATCTACACTGTAACCATCACTAAAACTGCCACATAAACACCAACCTGACAGCTATGGCATCAATAAAGGAAACATCAACAGTCTACCTGAACTGAGCAGTAAACTGATGGGTAAATCCTAGAGTCCTGGAAAATGCTCCTCATTTAGTTTGCATGCTGTTTGGTTTCCTCCCCTACAGAAAGGAGTTTTGAGGGACTTTTAATAAAAGGTCTGATGGTTTCAAATCTTTAGATTGCTATTGTGTAAACATTACTTTAAACCTCTGATTCTACTTGTATCCTCAAAGCTTTACAGTCACAGTAAATCTTAAATGTTACAACTCATTGGGCCTAGAGCTAGACAATTAGCTCAGAGGCACTGCGCCTGTTTCACAAGTGCAAGGTCCTGAGTTTGATCCCCAGTACAAAAAAAAAAAAACCAAAAAACAACTCATTGGCCTGGGGATGTAGCTCAGTGGCACTCCATCTGCCTGGCAAGCGCAAGGTCCAGAGTTTGATCCCTGGTGGTGGGAAGAGGGTGTCTACAACATGAGCCAGCACATAGTCTCCTTCGATCCTTTCATTTGGCTCTAATTCTACCTTAATGGTGGTTACTGAGATGCTTCTGGGGGTGATGCAATAGTGTTTGGGGTATAGAAGGGTAACTTTTTCTTTTTTGCTTTACTGCACTTTTCAAATTATTTTTTAAATAACTATTTTCACTTTTCCAATTTAAAATAAATTTCATAATTTCTCTCAAAGGAGATAAACTTACATTTCTTTCCTGAATTCTTCCATTTTTTGATTCTCTACAGTCAGAAGTTCTTTGGATTTGTTCAGCTCTTCCACATTTTTCAAGTTGTTCTCTTTGAGTGTATCCAACTTAAAGATCAAAAGAAAAAAACTTGATGAAATAATTTCATTTTCTAATGGAATGGCTCGATAGACTATTCACCAAAATATATATTTAAAAAATAGGTAAAATGAGTCACCTGCTAAAATGTCACTTGGGTGAAGAAATTACAAATGACAAGTCTATTATAAACTGCAAACACTCTCCTTATGTTGAGTAAACTTTTTGCACACCTGGCCAAAATATCAAACTAAATTGCTACATAAATTTTATTACCTAATTTTTTTTTGGCGGGGGGGGGGTACCAGGGATCGAACTCAGGACCTTGTGCTTGCGAGGCAGGCGGTGGAACCACTGAGCTACATCCCCAGCCCCAAGTTCTTTTTTTTTGGTACCGGGGACCGAACTCGGGTCCTTGCGCTTGTGCAGCAGGCGGCGAAACCACTGAGCTAAATCCCTGGCCCTGCTACATAAATTTTAAAAATGTTATTTTCATCATGTGCACAATTATCATTATCAATGAGCTTGCTAGTCACATATGATCCATCTTTAAAAAGTTACAGTGACATCAATATGGATTATTTTTTGTAATAAAATGAAATCTCCTTCTTTCCCCATAGATTAGCAATGTAGGAAACTTTCCAATGTCAGTACCAAATTTACAGTCCTCGTTACAAAAACAAAAATTGAGGGCCAGGGATTTTGCTCAGTGGTTCCGGCACCTGGCACACCTGAAGAGGAAGAAGTCATGCAGAGTGAAGGGTGCCCATCAGGTTAGGGCCTGAGCCCATTGTGGGAAACCAGGTGTGTAACAGAACGAGTAGGATGGCCTGTGACAGGCTCCCAGAGGTGGCTAGACTTTGGGTGTGAAGCCCCCTCAAGGATGGGGGTTTGTATAGCCATCCAGGACACAGGACGTGCTCCTGGGACTAGGATGATTCTCTGGACTTTAGTCCTCGCCTCCCACAGCCAGAAATGGGAGTTGTCTCCCTTTGTCATGTCATAGATTCCCAGCCAGGAAATCCAGAGTGTCTTGCTGAACTCCACTACCCTCCTTTTAATGCCTTCTAATATTCCAATTTACAGAACATGAGCCCAAGATGTGGTTCATCTAGTCTTGTATTTTGGGTACAATGGACATACCAAGGGATACGTTATGGGAAGATACATACACTTCTTCCTGATCCTATCCTCAAAGGTTAAAGACATTCCATAAAATGTTGTAGCTTCTAATTGTGATTATCACCTGTGATTTCTGTATTCCTATTATACTTCTAGCTTGTCAGTTTTGAGTATATTCCAGGCTCCATGAAGTTTTATTTGCCCTACAATTACCTCAAAACATCCAGATCTCAGTAGATCTCCCTCTTTTGGCCTTCCACGATGATGGTCTCTACAATAGCTATCCATTCACCCATCCCTTCCCTTCCTTAACACTTCACCTACCTGTGACTTGGCAAAGCATCTGAAGTTACACAGAATTTCACACATTAACTCTGGCAAATCAGTGTGCAGGGGGATTCAGGTAACAGCTTTCCAAGGAAATAAAGGTTGGTATGAGGTGGGAGGGTGTGAACAGGAGAATCAAAGAGGAGTCAAGAAAGAGAAATGCTACTTCTGGACAGAATCAAAATATCTTGATGGCACAAATTTGCCCCAGCTCCAGGAGTGGCTAATTCAAGATGACACACTGAACTCGGCTAAGAAAAGGCCCACGTCAAGCTGGAGAATGCAATTTAGCAGCTCCAAAAGAGTTGAAGAAAGTATGGAAGATACAGGACATGAAAACAAGAGAATTCCATCACCACCTCCTCTTGCCAGTGCTGTCACTATGTAGTTACCTCAGAGAACCAGGCTATTACGGTTTCCCCCTCAATTGTTAAAAGTTGATTCTCTGGTGGGTGTGGTGGCGCATACCTGTAATCCCAGCACTTGAGAGGCTGAGAGAGGACAATCACCAAAAGTTCAAGGCCAGTCTGGGCTACACAGTGAGTTCAAGGCCAGCCTGGACTACATAGGGAAACCCTGTCTCAAAAACAAAACTGATTCTGCTAAATAAGTAACGAAGTAATACACTTTATTTAACATACGGCTCTGGATTACATGTGACTCATACTAACATGGACAAACTTGTGAAAGGCCACAGGTAAAAAAAATACAACATCCTGAGTTGGAGTGATCAAACACTCCATGACATCGCTGATAAGCTGTTCTCTGTACAAAAAGCCATTTAAATCTAATTACTTCGTTCTGCAGTTTTGCATTTGTTTGCTTCGTGTCCTCTAAGGAGGCCAGAGTTTCAGTCTTCTCTTTGGTCATCTGTTCCATTATCTGCATGGCATCTTCTGCAGTCTGAGCCACCTAAACACAAGAAAACACAGTGAGGAGGGAGCACAGCCTACCTGACACCATCAGGCCAAGCTCAGGCCACGATGCTCAGGCAGCACTCAGTCTGTGTGGCTGAGAGGCACACAGAGATGAGACAGCCACAGCACAGCGCTAACACCAACAGACAAGACAGGAAGGATCTGTCTTCTGACATGTGACACTGTCACAGACCCTTGCCAGGCCATTTCTCAGTGAGTCAACTGTTATACAACTTCCATCCTTTCAGACCCCTCTAAGCCTACATCTTCCCATGGCACTTCTGAGTTACATGACAAGTATGCTCTCACCATTCCCACCTACACTGGAGAGACAGTATTCGGTGATAATAAAAGAGTTAAGCCCCTATGTAGCTGAATTTCTCTTAATCACACTTACTGTTGTAAGTTTAAAATACTACCTTTGCTATCTCAAATTTGAAGCTTTTGAAATCACCTACACTGGGAATTTTTCACATAAAACTTAAAATTATTTGGGCAATTATAACATAAAACTGAAATGTTTCCTGAGAAGCATTTAGTGGAAAAGTCTAAGGGAAACTGGATAATGAATATAAACATAACTATGAATAAAAAAGATGTATGTATATGATCACAAATTCTTAGCTGCTAAGTATAAAAAATAATCATAAAAATAAAATCTCAGGTACTTGATTACAATTTCATTTGCTCTAATGATGTTTATGGGGATTTTGCATTAGGCTTACCCAATTCTTAGCCATGGAGATTTCAGTGGAATCCTCCAACTCCAAACAGACCCACTCAGATAGTTAAAAGCCAAAGAGCAGATACGATATTTCAATTGAGCCTTATAAGAACTACAGTTAACTTTCTCACAAAGTTTCTCCATAAGCTAATAATAAATCATTTTTATTCACAGTCTGCAATGCTTTCCAAGTGGAGAGAAACTGCTATAATTAGACATTTAGTAAAGAATCGCTCTTTCTGACCATAGCGAATAGCTGAGACACATAAGCAACTTAGTGGAATGGATTCTTGTAAATGCAATGAAGAAAAATCACCTAAGCCACTAACATTAGTGCACAGGGTTAGTGAGTAATCCAGGTGCTAATACTTGAACTGCTCACTTTACTGTGAATGAATGAAGAGTCTCAAGCTCTCTAATTTTATGGGTAAGTTTGCTCTTGTCTTTCCTCAACATACGGTTTTCACTTTGAGACTCTAGAAGATTGGCTGAAATGTGGCTGTTGGTTTTGGCCAGCTGGCTAATCTCTTTCTGGAGGATGAAGTAGCTTTCCTCCAGCTTTTCCTTCTCCTTCAGGAGCCCATCCCTTCTCAGGATCATTTCTCTTTTCTCAGCCAGGAGGTTCTTGCTATCTTGCATGACCTTGGCCTTCTCAGCCATGGTCACGTCGTGCTTCAGCCAAAGGTCACCTAGGATCTTGGTGAGGCAGCTGTGCAGTTCCTGCAGTTCCGACTTGGACTTGGACAAGATGGCAAAATCGTTTTTCAGGGTCTCTATCTTGGCAGCGAGCTGAGCTGTTTCTGCACTCAAGAGTTCCTTTTCCTTAATAATCTCTACCACCTTTTGTTCAGACTTGGTCTTTTCTTGGATTAGTACAAACTTCTCAGACTGCAGCTGCTCAGTACATACTCTTAACCCCTCTACCTCCTGCTCCAGGAGCACCAATCTCCCATGGAGTTCATTGTTTTCACACAAGGATGACTCTTTTTCCTTTGCTCTGGCTTCTTTTTCTAGGACTAAGGACTGCTGCATTTCATGGATCTCCTCGTTTAATTTCTGACACTTTTCTTGCAGGTTCAAGCCATCCCTCAGCAAAATGCTCTTTTCACAGCAACAAGTCTTTAGTTTACCATTCAAGTTCTCTTTTGCTTGCATCACAGTGGTGTGCTCTTTTTCAAGATTCCTTTTGGCATTCTGTGCCTCTTTCAGCATCAAAGAGAGGTCACACTTGCTGGCCGCTAGCTCTTGGTTTTCCTTTTCTTTCTCCTGAATTGCCTTCTTCAGAGCATCAACATCCCCGAGTAGTTTCATCTTCTCGTGCACAATTATTCTTCTGCTTGCAGCCTCTTGGTCATTTTTCCTCTTAAGGTCTCCCATGGCTTTGATGGAATTTTCTCTCTCTGCAAGTAAATCTCCATTTTGTATTTCCAGAGCTGATTTTTCCTTTAACAGACTCTCTTGCTGCTTTTTAAGCTGAGTAAATTTCTGACAGGCCACCTCCTTCTCAGAAGTTAGGTGCACAATCTTCTCATTCAGGCTTATCTCAATATGGGTGGTCTCTTGCGATTGCTTGTCAAGTTTTTCAATGATGAGCCTATTTTCACTCAAAAGTTCCTCCTTCTCGGACAGCAGCCTCCTCTCTGAGGCAGCCCAGGTCTCTTTCTCATGGAGAAGCTGAATGCGCTCTGCGTCTGTGATGGCCCAGCTGGCCTTGATCTCTTCCAGGAGCTTCGTGAGGCTCATGTTGGTGGCCTGCAGATGCCTGGTCTCCAGTTCAGCCTTCCTCAGCGCTTTGCTGGAGCAGTCCAGCTGTGTGCACAGCTCCCCGGCTTCCGTGCTGAGCAGCTGCTTGAGCTGCAGGGTGGCCTCCAGACTGGCACTCAGCTTTTCCTGACCCTGACACAGCGAGTCCTTCTCTAACTGCAAGTCTCTGTTGTTCTGGAGAAGGCTTTTTCGTTCTGCTGTTAAGGCCTGGCACACACTGTTGAGGCCTGACTGCTTCTCGGCTGCCGCCTTCTTCTCAGCTCTGAGTGCCTCAATCTCCTGGACCAAGGCCCTCTGACCCTTGACGAGCTCCTCGTAAGTGCTCTGAAGCTTCTGAATGATGTCGTCCTTGTCTTTCACCAAGACAAGGTTTGGGGCAGCAAGTGTCTTGACCTGATCCTCCACATGGCCTTTTTCTGCCTGAACCTTCTCGGCCTCTGCTGCCAGAGTATCTCTGCAGAGCCGGAGCTCATCCATGAGCACCTGCAGGCTTGCTGTGGAAGCTTGCAAAGACCTGTTTTCCACATGAATCTTCAAGAACTCTTCTTGAGCAACACTGATTTCTTTAAGCAATTTTGCTCTCTCTGTAGCCAAAGCTTCTTTATCAAGACATTCCTGCTGGCAAAGCTTTTCAGCAGCTTCCTTCTCTTCTAAGGCTTTCTCCTTCTCTAAATTAAGAGTTTTGTTTACTGACCATAGTTTCTGCTGGTCTTGCTGAAGCAAAGTTATTTTGGCCTCCACTTTTACAAGCTTTGTTAAAAGCGAACCTTTTTCTACCTTTAAAGTATTTCCCTCCTGGACAAGAAGCTGCTTCTCTGATTTCAGACCCCTCAGCTCTTCTGACATTAGTTCAATTTCTTTTTTAGCTGATGTTAACAAATAAGTTAGCTACTACAGAAACAAAAGATGGAAAGAATGGAAACAAAAATGAAATCAAGCAGACAAATGCAAGCCCAAATAACTTAATGTAGCGTCTTAAAAGTTTAAAATTTTCTACAATAAATTTCATAGAAACTACATGAACAATGGGAGACAGAGAAACAGAGCCCAAAAGGAATAGGCTTATACATCTACTGGCCCGTTGTCCCTGTAACACACGGGGGTTTATCCCTGGAGCTTCCCAGAAGATAAGGAGAGCAGCCCAGGTGAGGCACAGTGGTGCTTGCCTACAGGAGGCTGGGGTGGGAGGGCTGAGAGTTCAAGCCAACTTGGGCCACACAGCAAGATCTCATCTCAAAAAACAACAAAAAAAACCTCAGCAGCTTGTTTTTAAATAGGGTGTAAAATTCTCCCCTGCCATTCCAATTATCGAATTATTTCTATCATAGAAGAGATTTATAGAATCTTTGTTTGGCTATTATTTTTGAGACGGGGTCTTACTACGTAGTCCAAGCTGGTTTTGAACTAATATAGCCCAGGCTGGCCTCAAACTCACGGCGATCCTTCTGCCTCAGCCTCCCAAGTTGGGATTCCAGGCATGCACCACCATGCCCTGCTACATTTGACATATATTATGTCATGGTCTGCTTTATTAACAGCAAGTTGTTATTTTGGCTGGTCTGCTTTTTGTGGTGCTAGGTATTAAACCCAAAGTCTCACATACGGTAGGCAAGCACTCTACCACTTGGCTATAGGAGATTTTTAGTGGATTGGTTTCAAGTTCTTTATAATTTCTTTGTGCTAAACTCATAAGTAAATATTTCTCAAACATAGTAAAGATAAAGGCAAGTATTTATTTTTCTTTGAGCAATAAAAAGTTATATAGTAATAGGACAGTTGATTTCACTCAGTTACATTCAGTCAAAGAATATACCAGGATACAGATAAATCCTGATACTGTAAACTGAAGTTCAATATACCTAATAATACTCCATTTGCTAATGGATGTGTCCTCCTCACTGCCCTTGAACCCAGCTTCCTGGTCAGTAAGCTCACAGAGCCTCCGTGGGGATAGAAAAGCCTCACAGTGTTCTCACTTCTAACCCTTCCTAGAAGAGCTCTGTTCATCCAGTGAGCTCCCTTCAACCCTGACTCCCACTTGCTTGCTGACTGTGGCCGCAGCCTCTGGCTGCTCTGCAGCTTGTCTCTCCTAACCCTAGTGGCAAGATGGCACAAGTTCAGCCAAGATTAGAGGAAGAAGCTTTCCCACACCAGAGTCTACTACAAGCAGGCAGACAGAGCTCAGGCAACATAAGAGGCTTTGTGACAGCCAGGCACAAGCAGCACAAGGGGTGGTGATGGCTACACAGGACACTCAGAGAAAAACCTGTAGCCACCAATGGCCCCAAGAGCAGCTGGTACAAAACACTTGGAACCACAGGAAATGCAATTCACTACCCTGTTGTGCAGGCAGAGGCTAGTGCTGGAGAAGGCTAACTCAACATATCCCATCTGCTGCTGCTTCCTAAGCACCCTGAAGCCTTGGTGCTGAACTCTGGCAGGCCACAACACAATTGCATGGCTCTCCCTGAACGTACTTCGGCTTTATCAGCCTGTATTCGCAGTTCTTCCATCTCCTGCATCAAGCCTCTGTTCTCCTCTTGGACAGATTTCAGCTGCTCCTCCGTGTCCAACAGCATCTTCTGTAGGTTCTGCAGGGTTTCTTCGTGCTTTGTTTTTGTCTCAAAACTGGTTTTTTCATACCTGGCTTTCAGATCCTGACACTGGTTGTTGCTCGTTTCCATCTTCTTTTCCTGCAGAAACCCCAAGGGAAGCAGTCAGTCATCTGGCCCACTGTGGACCAGCCCTGCCCTCCCTGTCAGGAGACAAAGTCCCTTTCATTCTCTCCTTACCAGGTCCATCAATTTTCCCTCCAATACTTGTTTTTCTTCTTCATGCTTTTTGGTGGCTTCCTGCTGGCTCTGTTCAGCTTTACGAGTTATCTCCCCAATATTTTTCTGCAGAGCACTTGCATTTTCATTAGCCTTTGTAAGTTGTGACTGTAACTCTTCTACACATCTACAACACGTTTCAACACAAGGCGTCACATTTTTCATAAGAGTGTTTTAAATTTAAGAATTATATTAAAAACATTAGTCACTATTATACTAAGGATTATAAAATTTGAGTAATCAATAACATGTAAAATAGGCAAATAAAAAAATGACTTGCAGGGGCAGGGATTTAGCTCAGTGGTTCCGCTGCCTGCTTCACAAGTGCAAAGACCCAAGTTCGATCCCTGGTACAAAAAAAAAAAAAAAAAAGAAAAATGGACTTGCCCGAGGAACAATTTTAACAACTGGGATTGTCATAAATACATTGCTTAGAATAACAAATACTATAAATGTGAAAGTTTATGTTAATAGATTAATAAAAAAATGAATGGTAAATAAACATATAAAAGAAAATGAGTTTCAAATTAGGGAGGCCAAGGCAGGAGGATCACAAGTTCAATGCCAGCCTGGACCATGCAGCAAGTTCAAGGAAAGAAAATAAATTTCAAATTTTCAGCAGATTAAGGTACCAAAAGCTCATTCCAGTGCTTCTTGGGAAAAGAAAATTTAAAAATTATAATTAATACTTGAAGTTCTGAAAGAGAACTCTATACAAAGATATACAGAAAAAGGGACAAACCGGGTGTGGTGGCGCATGCCTATAATCCCAGCCCTTGGGAGGCTGAGGCTGAAGGATCACCACAATCCTGGGTTACCTAGTGAGTTTAAGGCCAGTATGGGCTCCATAGCACGACCTTGTCTTAAAAAAAAAAAAAACACGGGACATTAACATAGAAAACAGGATGCTGGGTTAATCAGCAAATGCACGAGGAAAGCGAGCAGAGCAGCTCCAGTTTTATTCACACAACACCTACCAAGATGGAGCTCCCTGGAGCCCCCCCCCACACACACCTGCCCACAGCAATTCCACCCAAAGCAGCTGACCATGGCCTGCTCACCAACCACCCATCCTCTCTCGACTGTGTGTGGATGAATGGCTGGAGGTAAACGTAACAAGTACAACCGTCCAAGAAATAGAATTCTAATGACTCTAAAATGTGTTCTAACATTTTTTGCCTTATAAAACAAAAATTTGTATATGGCAGCCATAAAAAAAAAGTCAAAGCCAACAAGAACCTCAGAATAAAGACAAGAACAGATATTAGGATAAAAGAAGTTTTAGCATCAAAGAAGCAAAACACAGTAAGAGCATCAAGAGCTCTGGGATCAGATGGCTCAGATCTGAAACCTCAGACAAGTTACTCAGCCCCCCAAGCCTCAGTTTCTTTCCCTTTACAATGGGAATAATTCTATACAGTACTTGCCTCATAGGATTAGTATGAGAATTAGAAAATACACTCCACATAAGCCGCTGGCACAGTGCATGGCACACAGTAAGCCCTTAAAAGGGTGCAACCTATCATCACACTGAAGCAAGTCAAAAATATGTCTAATTGCTTGTAAAAGGTGTTATTGCCACTGGTAAATGACTGCCTTTTCTTTACAAATCACCAAGAGGCAGAGCCGGGCATGGTGGCACATGCCTGTAATCCCAGCACTCCAGAGGCTGAGGCAAGAGAATCACTGCAAGTTCAAGGCCTGCCTGGGCTACACAGAGAGTTCAGGGCCAGCTTGAACTACAAATGGAGACCCTGCTTCAAAAAACCTAAATAAATAGGCATATAAATAACACAGTATTACCTGTATCCATCATTCTTTTTTTTTTTTTTTTTTGGTACCAGGGATCAAACTCAGGTCCTTGGGCTTGTGAGGCAGGCACCGGAACCACTGAGCTAAATCCCCAGCCCGTATCCATCATTCTTGACAAGTGAGATAGATAACACCATTTCAAAACACTACACAGTTGATTTAAGGACACACTAAGGTAGTAACAAAGGAACAGAGGGCTGAGGTGTAGCTTAGTGGTAGAGCACTTGCCTAGCACATGCAAGCCCTAGGTTCATCCCCAGCGCACGCATATGCATACACACGTGCAACAGAACAGAGATAGGAAACTAAAACACAACCCCGCTCAGCCTTATGTCTGTCCCCTCCCCTCCCTGGACCTTGCTGAGGGCCAAATGTAAAGCAGACTCTTCCACTCTGAGTCTCTTCATGCATACCTTTCTTTCAGACGTAATTCATCATTCATTTTTGTCAGCTGAGAAGAATTATCTCCTGACATCTTCATTATCTCAGCAATATCATTTTCCAATTTTTCCTTCGCCTTTAGCAAGTGCTCTTCTCTTTCATCTCTCTCTCTAAATTTTGCCTCCATATCTGAATATATGTAGGGAAAAAATGGCATTGCTGTGTTAAGAGCAAGAGAAATGTACAGAATGCATCCTTGATCTAAGGTTGCTTGCATATAGCAACACCTGTCCTCATGAAAAATCACACATTCTAGCCAAGACAACAAACAGGAAAAAGAATGATGGCCAGGCGTGGTGGCACACGCCTATTAGCCCAGCACTCCCGAGGCTGAGGCAGGAGGATTACTGTGAGTTCAAGGCCACCCTGAACCACATAGTGAGTTCAAGGCGATCTGAACTGCACAGTAAGACCCTGCCTCAAAAAACCAGAAATATAAAATAAAATGAAAAAAGAAAAGAATAATCTAACAGCAGAGATAAGTGCTAAGAAAGGAAAAAAATGAAAGCAAAGACAGGAGCTGGGAAGGAATGGGGGTTAAACTCCTAGATGGGGCCCCTCTGAGATGGTGACATTTAAGTAAAGATCGAAGGCAGAGAGAAGAAAGGCAAGTACAAGACACCCAAGCAGGAACACGCATGACCAATATCGGCAAGGCGGCTACGGAGTGGACTGAGCAAGGGGAAGGGAAATCCGAGATGAAATTCTAGCCGTCACAGGGCCTGGTGGGGTAGGGTGGCAGCTTTTACTGAGAGGGGAGATGTTGAACTAGCTGGAGCAGAGAAGAGACATGACCTGACTTCCTGTTAGAAAGATCACTCTGGCTGTTGTGTTGAGAAGACACAGGGATAAGGGCAGTGGCAGGTGGCACACGGTGCGCTGTTACCGTCATTCATATGGAAGCTGTTTTTTCTCTGGATCATGGTTAGTGGTGGTAATGATGAGATATGGTAGAGTCTAGTTTTTTGTTTTTTGGTCTGTGTCATCCCCCCCCCCCCCCACCTGGGGTACCAGGAATGGAACTCAGGACCTTGCGCTTGCCAGACAGGGGTGGCGCTGCTGAGCTACATCCCTGGCTAGGTTTTTGAACACTGAAAACTGATCAAAGAGGACTTGCTGAGATTACAGATCTCAAATGAGTATTTCACATATTCTATCACCGTAATGAATGAAGAGGTGACACATGAATAGTAAATACGCTGTTGTAATATAACAATATCTCAAATCCTAGGAAAACTAGTATATTTAATTATTGGTCACCAGAGACAGCTCCTTACCTGATAAATTCTCTCTCAACTTCTCCAATTCAGAAGACAGCTTGTCAAACTCTTTCTCTTTTTGGTGTAATTTATTCACAGTTTCTATTTAGGATGAAATTAAAAGCTTAATGTATTTCATATTTAATAAGCCAACTAGATCTCGGCTGTCCCACAACCCAGTCAAATCACATGCTGTGGGATCTGAGAACAGCACACTAACTGTCCCACAGCGAGCCACACCCTGACTATGACCAGAAAGCAAAGGTGCGGCTCTCTTGGCTCCCCACATCTTTGCAGCAGCAGGCACCAGGTCAACCTTTGCCACACATCTCTTCTCCTTCCAATGCAAACTCAGTAAAGCAGCCCAGGGTTGTGGCTACAACTGGGCTACACAGGGAGTTCAAGGCTAGCAAAGAAGAAAAAATTAATTGGGAGGCCCTAGGAAGCCCACAGAAACCAATGTTTGTGTGCGCTGCAGAACTTCCTGGACAGTGAGGTTAGAGTACAGCAGCGGCTATCCCAGGCCCACTCTAGGAAGAACACCACATGCCTTAGGTCAAGCTGCTCGGCCTTTCGCCAGACCTACCTTGCATACTTCTCTGAACAGAGACAGCCTCCTCTGAAGCATCAGCAAACTTTTCTTTCTAAAGAAAAAGAAGCTGATATTCAGAACAGAAAGATTTCAAATGCTAAAGATAAACTATCAATTTTAACTACAATGTTATCTACTTTTTGTTGCCAATTTTGTTTCACTAAAACTAACACATTTAAAACAGGTAGGCAACAACTACTACCCAAGTGTATCTATCGTGCACATATGCATGTATGACGAGAGATCTGCCTGTGTGCACATACACGCATGGCATGCATGCAAGTGCAAGCAAGTGCATGTGTGTACACACTGATGTGAGTACACACATGTCCGTATACACAGCTGGTGCATATGCTTTGCCCCATCGCTTACCCTTGAGGAGCAACCTTCTCTTCAGAAATCTGCCCAAGGCAGTAAACAGAGTTCTTGACTGTTTTTGCTTTTGAGAGTAATCTGAGAAACAAACTAGATTCAAATCTAATATCTCAAATCTGGGCCTGTGTCAGCAACTTTTTAAACTGGAAAGGTCCACTGGTCACCTACTGTCCAAGGTCTCCTCTTATAAACATATTAGCAGCTCATGTCCTAAGATGGGCTTTTTCTGGTTGTCCTGAGATGAACTCTGAGGTACACCAAGAGTTTTCAAATATTCCCAACTAACTTAGGTTATGGAAGGACTGACATGAAGCCACAAGCTCATCAAAACCCCCAAGCTGCCCACTCCAAAGAGCACACCCAGCAATTCTCTAAGTTAAAAAAAACAAAACAAAACATGGTCTCCTGAAAGTTTAGGAAGGATGGCAGAAGAATGTGGAACCCTTTTTTTCTAAGTCACCAAATTACAAAATGGTGTTTCCTAGGCCAACTGTTTCTCAGAATGTAGCTAAAATATTACATACCAGAACTATCCAACAAAATTTTCTAGGATGGTAGAAGTGCCCTTATTGCTGTTTGGCCACCATATGTGGCTACTGAGCACTTAAATTATAGCTGGTGCCAGGCATGGTTGTACACACCTTTGTTCCCATCACTTTGGGAGGCTGAGGCAGGAGGATTGTCAAGTTTGAGCCCAGCCTGGGCAACTTAAGTGATTTAGCGAGACTGCTCTCAAAATGTTAAAAAAAGGGGGTCGGGGATTTAGCTCAGTGGTTTTGCCACCTGCTGCGCAAGTGCAAGGGCCTGAGTTCGATCCCCGGTACCAAAAAAAAAAAAATGTAAAAAAAGGGGTGAGGGGACGCTGGGAAGCAGTGGAAAGGCTCTAGGTTCAATCCCCAGTACTCTCGAAAAGAAAAAGTAGCTAGTGCAACAAAAGAACTGAATTTCAACTTTTATTTAACTTTAGTTCATTTAAACTTATAGAGCCATATGTGGATAGTAGCCACTGAACAATGAAGCTTTATGATAACTATTAAAAAGTAGAAATTTAGGGCCAGGGATTTAGCTCAGTGGTTCCAGCGCCTGCCTCACAAGCTCAAGGTCCCGAGTTCAATCCCCGGTACCAAAAAAAAAAGTAGAAATTTATAATATTGGCCTTGAGATAAGAAAAAAGATCACACACTTTCATTCACCACTGTGATTGGCAGAGAGGTATACTAAGTGGCAAATGGGAAGCACATGAAGGGGCCAAGACAATTTGGTCCTTAGCAGATACTCCCCCTCCCATCTTTTTTTTCCATAAGCTAACAGCTCTCCTCTTCATAACATATGGGTACCTGGCCACTGTTAGGGACTGAGGACTTCCTCCCCTGTCTGCCACTTGAATGAGGTCAGGTTTTGGTACAGGGGGCAACACTGGCCAGCACCCTGCCTGGCCAACAGAGGGCGCTGCAGCGTGGCGCATCTTCACTGCTGCTAGGCGGGGTCACAAAACTGGTGGGATGAAAGCTGGCAGTGCAGTGTGCTACTGGGAAGGGCTCTGTGGTTCATAAAATCAAGTGTCAAAAACGTCTAAAGCAGTGCTTTACCAGAGGCAAGGAATGGGCTTTTTAAAAAAGAAAAGTAAGACTTACCTTTACTGCTAATTTGGCTTGATCCAGTTCCCCCTTACAGTATTTATCAGCCGGTAATTTTAACCAACATTTTGAAAACAAGAAATAGCTGCACTATTTGAATTATTTTAAACAGGAAAGGGCCAGAAACCCTGACATTCAGATTCCCAGCCGATACTTACCAAAATTTGAAGTTCTTTTTCCAAAGCCTCTTTCACTTGACTGACTTCACTCAGATTGTCCTGCAGGCTAGTAAGCTTTAGCTCTTTCCCCTGGAGCTCTTTGGTAATGCTACTAGCCTAACATACAGCAGTACATGGTACAGAAGTGAACAAAAAGGAACAAAAAAGAATGATAAGAACAAAAAATAAACAATGTAAAAAATTATGAGAAACACAACCAAACAAAACTGAAAGGAATAAAAAGTGATTTTTTTAAATTCTAAGATGCCAGTGATTTGCAAAAAATTTGTTCATTGTTGTTGTTTTGAGTCAAAGTCTTGTTATGTATTCCAGGCTGGCACTGAACTATGTAGCTCAGGCTGGCCTTGAGCTCTCAGCAATTCTCCTACTTCAACCTCCTGAGTGCTGGGATCACAGGTGTGCACCACCATGCCTGGCCAATTCCTTCTTGATATGATCATCTAATGGCTATTTTTAAAAGTCAAAGTAACTATTTTGCTATACTTAAATGTGGACTAGCAGCATGATCTAAAGCAGAAAGTGCTAATGGTTACTTTCAAAGCTAGTTACTTAACCAATTTCATTTTCTAGACTTTAAAAACCTTAATGCTAGGGGTGTAGCTCATCAGGAGAGCCCCTGCTTAGCAAGTGCAAGGACCCAGGTTCAATCTCCATCACCAAAATAAAATAAAATAAAAGCCTTAACATAACAATGGCAAGTTCACTACTCTGTTATTTCTCCCTATTTTTGTGTATGCTTAAATTACTTTAATGTTTAAATCCAATTTTAAAATCCAATTAACCTCTGTGTTTTGACTGGTATTTCAGAAACACATGAGGAGATTGGAGAAAATTTTCTTGCAGCCTGTCTGTCATCTTCAACTGCAGTTGCTTAGCAATTTCTCGCTGTTTATCTGTCCTCATCACTCCCCATTTAACCATCACAACCCTTCCTTTTTTGCCAGTAGAGCAGCTTCTGCAAAAAAGCTCGGAACATTCAGCATCAGCATCAGTATCAGTGCCCCAACTAGTGGCAGACAGGGAAAGAAGTTCTCAATCCTTAAACAAGAGGCTGGCAAGTCTAGTTAACAAGCAATGTAGCTGGCAGATGTTTTGTGTAGTTTCCTATGCATGACCAAGAGCACCCTTGTCCAGTCTACTCTCAAAAAAACAAGGGATAGATCATGTCCTCATTATGGCATGAAATAAACTAACGAAATGGAAGTGGCAATTTAGTGGGCTCCAGGCTCTTCAACTTTACGTACTCCTGGTGTGAATGTTATGATGATCGCATGTTAACTTCTAATGGTCAAGAAGCACTCTTCATATAGAATCCTACAGTCCAGGCAATGATGTGGGTGGGAAAGCAGGAGGTGGCCTTGTAAGTCTGTATCTCATTCATTCATTTACCCTGCCACCATCATCTTGGGGAGTAGGGACTAGAGTTCGCATCATAGTCCAGGCATAAAGTAATGGACAAAGGGCTCAGATTCCAGAAAACCAAAATAAATTTACACATGGTTGGGTCATTCTTTTCTCTAATCTCCTCAGAGAGAAACCATACTTCAGACCCTCAAAAACACTATATTCAAACAGAAGCACCACTTGTTTCCATTAAATCTGGAATTTGAAAGATGAGTGACCACAACTCAGAAGTAACACATAATGCAAAATAAGAATAACCAACGAAGGAGAGAAAACATGAAGGATGTTGATATGATACAAACCTTGCCACTTTCAGCATTCTTTTCAATCTCTAAATTTTTAATCTGTTTCTCAGCTGCCTCAAGCTGCTGTCTAAGTTTCTCGATTTCCGATTTACCTTCGGAACTGGCTTTCTGAAGCACATCAAGATCCAAGAGCTTCTCTTCAGTGGCCTTGAGCTGTGATGTAAAATGATCAATAACCTTGGTTTGTTCACTGCATTTGGCTTGCAGGACCTCTAGCTCCTTTACCTTTATTTCAGCTTCCTGCAGTTTGTTTAACGTGTCCTCCATTTCCACTAGGTGCTGGTCTTCTGCTCTGTCCAGTTTGGATTTGGCGGCTTCCAGGCTGTTCTCTTTCTCCTTAATGATATTCATCAGTTTAGCCTGCAGGGCATCCATCTCTCTAGCATGAGCAGACCGTTCAGAGACTTGTTTATTCTGCAAATTTTCTATTTCTTGCTGGTAATCTACTCTCAGTTTCTCTATTTGCGTCTTTAACTCGGCCAATTCTGCCGTCTCCATTCCAAGCCCCTTGCTGAAGGACACCTTCAGCTCCTCCATGGCCTGCTGGTGAGACCCAATGGCCGTCTCAAGCTTGGACTTCCACAGGGCTATTACATCTGCATTCTCCTTGTTGGCATGGTTCAGCTTGCTTCTCAAGGACTCGTTGTCTTTGGAAAGCTTCTCTGTGGCTGTGTGCAGAGCCTTCATCTCCTTCTGATACATCTCTTCCCGGGCTCCAAACTGCTCCTTCAGAGAAGTTATTTCTCTCTGGTGGTCTGTATGGGTGACTTCTAACTTTTCTTGCAAAGAGCTTATCTCTTGCAAAAGGGAAAGCGACACATCCACATCCCCAGCAGGCTTATTGGACTCTAGCCTTCTTCGGAGCTCAGTTACTTCCTTTACTCTTAGTGCTAGGTCTTTTTCTAGTTCCATTATACGTGACTTTTCTGACACTGTAGCCACCTATTAACAGCACGTCAAAGAAAGAGAAATCATTTAATAAATAACAAATCATTAATGATTTTCTGTGACCCTGAAGATCTTTAAGAAGTACCCCTTCTTAGGCAGCAGTCAGGCTCTTTCAAAATGTTTACAGGTTAATTTATCTCTCATGATAATGGCTTAAACCTATTTCTGGTGGCTCCAATTCAAAATTATAATCTGTGGCAAACTTCCAGCATTCTGAGATGCTAAAGAAACCTAAAATGGATATTGAGCTCACCTCTCTCAAAAATACTTCTTTTTCTTCTAAGAAGGCTAAATCAGGGAAATAGTCATTAACTGATTTAGCAGAAACTAACTTTCAAAGTTCTCAAATACATCTGCTTCTTGGGATAATGAACACTCCTTATCTGGCCAGTATTTTTCCACCCTATTTCACTGAAGCTGCATAAATCCTTCTCCAACTGATGCTGGTGATATTTACAGAATTGTGCTGTCCAATAAGGCAGCCATTAGCAACATACAACTACGAAGCACTAACATTCAACTCATCTCAAGTGAATGAGGGCTGCTGTGAGAGACATACACCAGGTTTTGAAGACTTCAGAAAAAAAAGAATATAAAATATCTTAATTCTTATATTGATTATATGATGAAATAATATTTTGAGAATACCACTTTAAATAATTATTTAATTTCATTTGTAACTTACTGAAAAGTTAATGTGACTACAAGAAAATCAATCATATATATAACATAGATATTATATATTTATTTATATATCTCTTACATTATATACTGTGGACAGCACTGGTATAAAAGGTTTTAAATACCCCCCCCAAAAAAAAACCTAAAAAGGTTTTAAATTACCTATCAAATGTTTCAATGAATAATGCATCACTTGTAGTATAAAAGCCTCAACTAGATAATGAAAAATTCACTAATCTGTTTTCAAAACAACAAAGAAAGAATGATTACTTACCTGCAATTATACACTAAAATCTTACAGTGAGTCCCCTTTGGGGATTTGATAATTCTATCAGCATTTTGATGTATGCATCTTGTTCCCCTAGCCCAGGGCTCTCCATATCAGTATGCACATGAATCACCTGAAATGCATGTCTAAAATGCAAGTTCCCAGCTACTCAGACAGATTCTGATTCTATTTGAGTTCTGGAATTTTTAAATAAATAAATACCCCAGGGTTAGGAAAGACTCTTAACCTATGGCCTTTTAATTTTAGAAAATTATTTCCCATTGTCATCTGCTAGGCAGCAAGTTTAGTATGTAGGATTTGTGGAAAATGGTAACTTTGGGCACAACAATTATTTGACTAACCTGGGAAATAGAAGGGAACATAGGTACTGTAATTTTAAAGTACCAGTGAGTTCCAAATGTCAAGGATCAAAACTTATCCAAACTTAAGACTCCTCTCCATACTGCCTTGGGACAGAAAATAACAAATGAGTTTCTTTCATTTCCTGTGCCCACCTACCCAGGTTGTAAAGCTGGTAAAAGGTCCAGAAGCAAGGAGGAAAAGAAAGTACCTCATTCTCTAAAACTGCAAAGTCAAGCTGACGAAAACTGCTACATCATGGTTATAGATTCTTCAGGTTAAAGATGTTGATTCAGTTGTATGCTATTTTAGGGGGAGAGGAGGGTCCAAGAATTTGTGTCCCAAATATATGACACAAAACATTCATAAACCCCACTGTGGCAGTCACAGCAAGACAGTCAAATGGAAAGAATGACAAGAAAAAAATTGGTGAAAACAAACCAGGTGCACGCCTGTAATCTGACCTCCAGGAAGCTGAGGCAGGAAGAGCACAAGTTCAAGCCCAACCTGGACAATTTAGTGACTTAGCACTCATAGATAAATAAATAAATTGTTTTTTAAAACTTTAAAAGTGAAAATAATGATTATTAATTATGTAACATTTTCATGTAAGAAAAAGCACTTCTATTTTTTATTTTACTTCCCAAAGGCTGTCCTAAGTTGAAACGCTGTGTCTGCCTCTCCCACTAGTTTGAGATCATAAAGTCACGATCATTTCTTATTCTTGCTCACATTTCTACAGCTCCAGGTACACTGTCGGTGGATTTACTGGTTTAAAGAAATTGTAAAGTGCTTGCCAAAAAGGAATGTAAGTGATATGAAACTTACAGGGGTCACTGGTTATTTTCCCACTTGGCAAACCAAGTGTGAGATCATCACAGGAGTCACATCACTACAGAAAAGACGAAGTTTCATTTGAAACACTTGGATAAACCCTGCTGTAAATGGATGCCTTCTCATCAGAGCAGAAAGGAAGGCATTGAAGTTGTTTACTGACAAAATTAAGGTATGAGAGAGGAGTCCAGAAGTTACATACATACATATATATATATATATATATATATATATATATATATTCTCCTTACCTTAGTAGCTAGTCACACTAAAGGACCTCATCTCATTAGCCCGTTATATTTCCCAGATCAGGACTTTGGCTCTCAGATAATGAAGAAACAGCACCAAATTACCACTTATTATCTCCTTTTCTTCCCAAATCCGTAACAGAAATCTTTAATTTTGAGGCTAAGAGCATTTTCTTCTTAAAACATAAAGACTTAAGTTTGAGAGAAGAAAGATTACCCAGTTGTCCAGATTTTTAGATCAATGATTTCTCACCAAGAGAAAGTTCTACAATACTAATAATTCAAAAGAAAAACACTGGGATTCCAAATTTGATCAGATACAGAGTAATTTTTAAAATTTGTAAAGACCAATCACAGTCAAATTCATGATTTAAAGGGAATATATGAATACATATCTCTGTAAGTAAGCCACACTGATTATTTCTTTTTCTTTTTTTTTTGACACTGATTATTTCTTAGACCTTTCAGCACAAGACTATTTCATAACAGATTTCATCCTTAGTGGTTAAGAGTAGATAGACTCCAGCCAAGATGCAAATCCTGGCTTAGACCCAAACCTATTACTATTACTATTAGTATTACTATTACTATTACTATTAGCTGTGTGACTTTGAGCAAACTGTTTAACCTCTCTGTCCTCAGCTGTAAAAATGTGAACAATAATACTACCCTAGAGTTGTGGTGAGACTGAGTAGTACGAGAAAAGCACTCAGGGTAATATGTGGTGTGACATAAGCCTTCTCACGGTGCTTTCATACACTGACAAAATAAAACATGCCTGGTGCCCTGGCTCCAAGGCCCAACACCGTGAGATGGGACCTGAAAGCAGCCATTCTGTTCCCCACACATGGGCCCTCCTGACCCCTGAGATTTCAATCTCCTGGGTGATAGAAAGGAGGGAGATGCAGAAAGAGGTCAACTGTCAAGAAAAAAAGATAACTTGGATCCAGTCCTTAACTCTCATTTAAAAGAGCCAAGGCTTCAATTTCCTCCCTGCAAAAGGCCTGGGGTCAAGGCAGGAAATAATCTAAATTATTTAGGAAACCTCATAAGTAGGAATGTGAGAATAAGAGGACAACTGACTGCTCATGGCAAACTGGCATGAATACAAAGAACTTCAGATGCAGCTGTGGCTGTCCATAGCACACACAGTACCAGGTCCCCACCTTGCTGTGTCTGGGTTAACCAAAGTTGTGTGTCTCCACCTTTGACAAAAGAGCTCACTCCAAACACCTGGGCCTGCCCTCCAGGCTAAGCTCGAGGACAGCTGAGCAGTGCCAAGAGCAAACTCAGGCCAACTGCAAGGCAAGTCACCCACGGTGTCCACCACTCACACGCAAGGGGCTGCTTCAGGAAATATGAAAGCCATTACCCTAGTGTCTTCTAACTCCCTCTGCAGTTTGTCAGCTTTGGTCTTTTCAAAGAGCAGGCTCTGTTCAAGCTCCTTAATGCGGGCATGCTCCAGTTTGGTCTGCGTCTGTTAGTAAAAAGGAAGAGGAAGAGAACACAACAGTGCCACCATGACATGCCAGCACAAGAGGAGAGGGAGCGGCATGCAGGCTGAGCCACCAATACCTTCCGCCAGAAAGGGACATGAGGGTGATGAGAAAGGAGGAGGATGGAACTGCAATGAAGAGGGTGAGGATGGAGACTATGCACAAAAGGGCAAAGGTGTGCAGGGGACATGAGCTAGTTTGATGGGAAAGGAAACAATGGAAAACACATGAGGCAAGATGACTTGTTGGATGCATGCAGCCAAAAAGATGTTACATTGATCAGTGAAGTTTATCAGCACAAATTAGAACAGTTAATATTCCTCTAACTAGCACCTTCCCTCCACCCCACAGTGGCTGTTTGACATTAATGTGTATGTAACTGACTCCACGACTTCAAAAGGTTGACCTCAGAACCATCAGAACTGGCACCCAAACAGGGAGAAGACAACCAGCAATATAAATCTTCAAGTGTTCAGTCAGCCCTGAGAGTAGATCTCTGTAGCTGGCGTGCAACTTGGCACGAACAGGGGTTATGAATTAATCTTTTTTTTAATAAATTAATCTTAATAGGCTGGGCGTGGTAGGGTACACCTGTGATACCAGCACTTGGGAGGCTGAGGCAGGAGGATGGACATGAGTTTGAGGCCAGCCTAAACTACATAGCAAGACCCTGTCTCAAAATTAAACAAAACACTAAAAACAAAAATTAATCTTAATAAAGGAAATCTGGAAACCAGAGCTAAGGGAACTACAGCAGGGGTCTCTGCTGAATGGATGTGAAGCAGGTGAGGTCCTCAGCCACATTCTCAGGTATAGCAGGGGAGGAGTCCTGAGGCTCTAATTTTCTTGCCACAGGGATTTTCCAAAAATTAGCCTTGGGGGGAGGAAAACAAAGATTCAAGATTGCAAAGAAAATACTCAATAATGATTACCCTCTATGGCTTCCATCCCTGAAGAGGCCAATTAAGAAGTTAAGAGCTCGAGGAAACTCAGCTCCAGCCTTAAGGGGCTATCCTCACACGACACTGAGTGGTCCTGACCAGCTAAGAGGGAAGAAAGGTAGGAACCAGCGGCTGTGCCAAGGCAGGAGTCTGAACTCACACTGGAAGAGCTGGTGAGAAAGACCCCAGTGTGGTGAGGCCCTTCCCCTACCTACCACACAGGAGCCAGGAGGTGGCCGCTCCCTAACAGGCTCAAGCACAGCAGAATCTCAACCGATTTGAAATAATCTGACATGGGACCTGGTGGCACACACCTGTCATCCCAGCACTCTGAGGCTGAGGTAGGAGGATCACAAGCTGAAGCCCAGCCTGGGCACCTCAGTGAGATCCAGACTCAAAAAATTTGGAAAAAGGGCTGGGGAGGTAGCTTAGTGTGAAGGGGGAAAAAAAGAATCCAGGTATCAATCCAAATGTACTCTTCTTCTGCCCACCTCTCCTACCCAAGGAGCCATCTGAATAAATGACAGACAAAACCCATGGACAGAGCTGCTCTCAGCAGCTGCTAGCTACTTGGATTAACTTAAATATTTTCTGGTTCTCACTGGCCCGATCTATCAATCTGTACAATTATGGACAAGGAGAAAATGACAACGGAATTCTAACAAAATGACACCAAGTAGTGCAGATCTTGAGAAGAAGGCGAAACGCCAAAATACGGTTATATCTTCACTCACTCCATCCGGGCTCTGGAGATGGCAATGCATCCAAGAGATTGGTTTGCTAAAGAATCAGATATAGGGCTGGGGATTTAGCTAAGTGGTGCGCCGCCTGCCTCGAAAGTGCAAGGTCCTGAGTTCTATCCCGAGTACCAAAAAAAAAAAAAAATCAGATATAAACAAACCATCTCGATAGTTAAAAGGTAAACTAAAAACACTTTTAAAATTCTTCATCTGCTTCAGTTTTTCATGATCCACAAAAATGATGAATAAAATTCAAAACCCAGCCAGGCATGGTGGCTCATGCTTGCAATCCCAGCACTTGGGAGGCTGAGGCAGGAGGATCAAAAGCTCAAGGCCAGCTTGGGACGAGACACTTAAGTCTAAAAAAAAAAAAAAAAATACAAAAAAATTGAAAACTTCATTGTCTGGATAGTCTTGGTGGGCACATTTGCCTCAGAAAGAAGTTATTTATCTGTTTTAACAAGAAAAAAAAAATCGAATCCAGGCCTGCATAATAATTGGGGTCACAGCTGCAGGAACTGAAATCCAAAACTAAGAGGAAAAGCAAAAGGCAACAGATCCTTTCTTCTTTTGACACTAAGTGTCCTCTGGGCAAAAGTTACCACTTGCAGATTAAAAGCTTCCCACTGAGCACAGCAACCTCTCCTTAGCCAGCCGTGGACCGCCTCTGCCCTTCAGCAGTGAGGGCTCTCACCCGTGCTGGAGCCCAATCAATAGGACAGCCCTTCCTCTAAAAGTACTGCTTTCTTAGGGCAAGACAAGGGATTCCCCAGAGGCAAGTCCTGGGACAGGGGCTTGAGAGGAAAGCAAAGGCCCGAGGGAAGCGCACAGACAGGCAGGAGTAGCGCCCATGCACACTGACACCGGACGCAGCCGAGCCTGCTCCGGAAGCAGAGGAGAGACCCAGATCACTGAAGGAGCTCTGCAAAAAGGAACCCTTCGGAACGAAGACCTTTTAAAAAGTTCTGTCTTGAGCTGCCTATTTCCGCTGCCGGGAGGAGGTAGGGAAAAAAGTAGTTGTTTTAATTTCATTCTCTTGTACCAGTAAATCAAAACAAAAGGTTTGTGGAGTCTCTGCAATCAGCATCACCGGCGGCAAGGTGCGCCAAGAGGCAATGCTCTGGAGGCCACTTGGCGAGACTGCTGTTGGGGGCCGCATCTTAACCAGAGGGAGAAGGAAAAACCGGCATGCCTGGTAGCATTATTACTAGAAGAAGCTCCCTTTAATAACGGTAAATTTAAAACACACAGTGTCTTATATCGGTCTCTAATTTCAGAAACTAGAGAAAATACTGCGGCAACAAACGAATTTTCTATTTTCTGTCAGGTGTACTGGCAGACACTGACCAGCAGAGGGAGCGCCCATTAAGGCGATGGGTGATGAGAGCCTCAAGGCCCTTCTCTCGGGAAAATCGGATTAAACAACTTTTGGGAAACTCTCCCCAGAATTTCTCCAACTCCTTTATCTAACATATTTTATGCTTCAATCAACTGTCATTCCTTTCACAATGATTCTACTAAAATTGGAAGGCATTATGAATTAGGTAAAGGCCAAGCCCTCAAGACAAAATTGTTCTCCTTTTGGCTAAAAATTCTTTATAAAGGAAAAGTGCCTATTCATTAAAGAAATGAATTTATGGAGCTTAGTCATGACACACAATCTCTTCAGGACATAAATCGCTTTGAAAGCCACATGCACAGAAATACTGAAGTCAATGTCCCAAGGTCAGATTATGCAGTTAGTGTTTAAGTGTATCAATAAGCATTTTAATCTGGAATCAATCTGTGTTATCAGGGAAATATCCACACAGTTAAGTGCCCTCTTACATTCTCAGGATCTTCACAAATCTGTTTCTTTTGCTATCAGTAAAAAAATAAAAAAATTAAACAACAATCAAAAAGATTTAACTAAAGCTTCCATGTGTGTTAGGGTTTCAAGATAACTTTATATGGTTAATTCCGAGTCAGTTTATCAGACAGACTACGCTAGCCCAGTGTTGATGTAAATACCCTCAACCCTCTCCACACATCAGAGGCTATAATTCATATGAATTAGATGATGATATGAAACTTCTAATGAGACTTTGGGGGGGGGTTTAAATGGATGAAAACAACACAAAGGTCAACTGAAGGAATACAACTGGATATGGAATGAGTGAAGATATCTATTAAATTATTTTTTTGATATCTATTAAATTATTAACAAGCCATTACTGGACCCTATAAAACTAGAACTCAGAAAATGTTCCCCCTACTCTTTGATGAGAGTTCCTGTTTGGAAGGACCCTGAAATTTAACCACAGTATGGGCAGCCAATAGACTCTAAAGTTACAATGGTAGCAAAAATTTATCTTTCAAGAACCACCCTGGCAAGTGCAATTTCTACTAAAATTTTACATACAGGGCTGGGGATTTAGCTCAGTAGTTTCACCGCCTGCTGCGCAAGCGCAAAGACCCAAGTTCGATCCCTGGTACCAAAAAAAAAAAAAAATCTTACATACAGATTAAAGAATATCACCGAATTTTCAAAAATTGAAAAATTTAATTTACATTTGTCATATATCTGGCAGTGGTTTAAGCATCAGAATTGCTGGGCCTGGTGGTGCATGGCTGTAATCCCAGAACTTAGGAGGCTGAGTTAGAAGGACTGCCGCAAGGTGCTACATAGTGAGTTCAAGGCCACCCTGAACTACATAGCAAGACCCTATGTCAAAAAACGAAAAATAGGGCCAGGGATGTAGCTCAGTGGTGCCACACATGCCTTGCAAGCACAAGGTCCTGAGTTCTATCCCTAGTACTGGAAAAAAAAAAAAAACATAAAAAGCAAAAAATAAACAAAAAGCATCAGAACCATTTCTTTCTTTTTTCTTTTTTTTCCTGGTACCAGGAAGCATACTCAGGAGAATCATTTCATTTAATTTTGGTGTCTAATTCAAAACTAACATGAATAATTGTTAAAGAGAAACCTGACGCTAAACAAAACTATGAATTTTAAATATGTCATGAAAGTAAAAGAGGTTGAAATATGAATTGCTCTTTGTTTTTGCTCTGATAACTACTTTTTTAAAAAAATCAACTAGGGCCTGGGATTTAGCTCAGTGGTGCCACCACCTGCCTCCCAAGTGCAAGATCCCAAGTTCAATCCCTAGTACCAAAAAAAAATCAACTATCGGGGTGGGGGTGCCGCTCAGTGATAAGATTGCATGCTTAGCACACATAAGGCCTGCATTTGATTCCTGGTGCGTGCGTATACACGCTGTCAGGCATGGTAGCACAAGCTTATAATGCCAGCACTCTCAGAGGCTAATGCAGGAAGATCACAAGTTCAAGCCCAGCCTGGGCAACATAGCAAAACTTGGTCTCAAATAATAGAAAAAGGGAAAAAAAAAAAAAAGGGACTAGGGATGTAACTCAGTGTGCATGCCCTGGGTTCAATCTCTAGTACCTCAAAGAAAATAAACTACTAAAAAATATAATGTGTCCCCTTTTATAGGGTTATAAAAGATTTATTCTGCTCAACTGAAAAGCAAAGCTAAGGATGAAGCAAAGAAAACCATAAAACTTTGTTACATACTTATGAACAAATGCTCTTTTGTGGAGCATGATGGCACACATCTGTAATCACAGATAGTTGGAAGGCTGAGGCAGGAGGACCTCAAGTTCAAGGCCAATCTAGGCAAATTAATAAGATCTTGTCTCAAAATTCAAAAGGACTGAGGATGTAACTCAGTGGCAGAGCACCTACCTAGCATGAGCAAGGCCTGTGTTCAATCCTAGTACCCCCTTAAAAAAAGCTTTTTTTTTTTTTTTGGTACCAGGGATCGAACTCAGGTCCTTGAACTTGCAAGGCAGACAGTAGTACCACTGAGCTAAATCCCTGGCCCCCCCAAAAAAGCTCTTTTAAAATACCATTTCTTTTTTTTTTTTTTTTTTTTTGGTACCGGGGATCAAACTTGGGTCCTTCCGCTTGCAAGGCAGGCGGTGGAACCACTGAGCTAAATCCCCGGCCCCAAAATACCATTTCTAATAACCAGAAGAATACATAGTCTCTCTTAGGGCTGCTTTAAAATGAGGATGCACTGCCAGATTTATGACTTGATTAAATCCAATTCCTGGTTTGAACTTTGAAGCACAAAGAGAGCAGTAAATATCTGCTCTGCCACAGGGACCGGGACACCACAGTCACAGGACCACAGAGGCCAACCCACAGCCAGCGAGGCCAAAGGAGCCCAGGGTACCGGCATCAATCCCAGCAGACTGCGTGAGCCCAAGGTCACCAGGCACCAACCGCACCCACTCTCCACACGAAAGCTTCAGCGAGCTGCAAAGGTTTACCTCAAGATCTCCTTTAGTAATCGATTCTTCCTCAACCCGGAACTGCAGGTCCTCAACCTTCCTGTGGAATAAACCCACACAAAGCACGTAAGGAGGTAACGAAGGAATGTGGCTGCCTAACCTGACCCACAGTCCACACTCAAGGTCCTGGCAAGCTCAGCAGGTGATGATGGAAGAAATGGTTGGGCAAGACAGAAAATAAAGAAATCCACTTTTAGGGTTCCAGTTTATAAGAGCTAAACATTATTTAGGAAATTCCAAGTTTTATCTAGATACTGACCCCAGAAGGCATGAGATATCATTGTGAAAAATTAACTGGTTCCCTAGGTCACATACACCAGAATGGATCTATCAAGATAAGACCAGCCTACATAAAAATATTTCTATAGCATTTGGGAGGCTGAAGCAGGAAGATCACTGTGAGTTCAAGACCAGTGTGGACTATATGGTGAGACCCTGTCTCCAAAAAAAGAAAAAATTTCTATTACCACAGAAATAGGTCTGAGATTTCTATTCCATAATTTTTATTTTGCAATACAGAACCCGAAGGAGAGTGGCATGGAATTCAAATCTCCTGTGTTACCCACATCAGGCACCTTGCGGAGGGGTCAGCAGACTTCTCAGAGGCTCCACTCAACCCTCCCACTCCTTAGCTCCTAACAACACCACCACCTGCTCCAACCCTAGAATAGGGTTGTGAATGATGTGGGGGAGAAGCAACCAAGAATCCTGTTCTTCAATTTTATGTTGTTGTTGTTTTTGTACTGGGGATCGAATTCAGGACCTTGTGCTTGCAAGGGAGGCGAGGTGCCACTGTGCTAAATACGCAGCTCAGACATTTTAAAATAAATCTGCCAATGGATGTGGTTTCATTTAATGTCATTACAAAGTCAATGAAAGACAATGGTATTTAGATTTACGATATCCATGTTACATCTGCACCATGCTGCTTCTTGTTGCTGTTTCGTGCTGGCAACCAAACAGGTGCCAGGTGCATGCATGCTAAGCATATACTCCACCACTCGGCTAAACCCCCTTGGCACGCAGATTACTAATCTTCACAAAAGTGAATAGAAGGCAAAGAAAAACTTTGTAATCTGTGTGTAAAGCAAAACAGGGTCCTTCCAAGTAACATTTCTGGCAAAGTAAGAATACAAAATCCTCCTCAGTTAAATGAGAACTCTCATCATAGGTTAAAGCCCTCAAACCTGTGTGGGAGCTGGGACGCTCTACTGCCCAGTAGTCCGCAGAGCCACAGCTAGTGTGAGAACAGAAACAAGTGGCACTGGTGCCATGACACTCTGGAGGGCCTAGAAGAGTCGTGAGCAGAAAGTCTCAGGCCTGGTGCTTCTCTCTCCATGGAGGGAGTGCTTTTCTTGCTAAGAGCCAGCGTGGCTCTGTGTTCCCCAGCACAACAGCACCTGGGGCCATCCTGCACCTGTGGTGACACTAGGTTATTACTAAACTAAAAAATGATGAGATGGCTCAAGTCCAACAGGAGCCAACACTCCACCACCCAGGGATGGTCACATGGTCTCCACACAGATGCCCTTCTCAGAGGTCTTATTTGTTCATGGCCTCAAGAAACCTGCTGTACAGGCAACCCACTTTCTGGTCCCCCTTCCTTCTCTCTTAGGCAGAAGTTATCTTTCTCTCAATAAACGTTTTCTACTCTTAAAAAAAAAAAAAAGAAACCTCCTGTGTAAAAACTAAACTTTGCTGCCTCACACCATTCAACATCTTTTTTTGTTTGTTTTTAAACAGGATTTCATTAAGCAGTTCAGGCTGGACTTGAGCTCACTACGTAGTTCAGGGTGGCCTTCCTGTGGAGATCCTTCTGCCTCAGCCTCCTCAATTGCTAGAGTTACAGGTGTACACCATCACGCTTGGCCACACCATTTAACATCTGATTTCATACTTAGCTGAAAAATTGTTTCACATGCAAGAATTTAATTTTCCTAATAAGGTTCTGAGATTCTCAAGGGCAAGGACCTTGTATCACCCACCAGACATAATACAACTTCATAAATTCTATGCAACTTGGACCTATAGAAGTGATGCCGAATCTTGTAGAGGTTTCAATGATACAAACAGCCCACTGTGCCACATGTGCCATAGGTTCACCACCACTGCTAGAGTATCCTCTCAGCGGGAGAGGCACCAAGGTGAAAGCTGGTGAATCACCTCCACAATACTAACTAACGCTACCATCAGGAGGGAGGAAGTTTAACGTGCAATTGGTGCGCAATTTGCCAGATTAATCAGGTCATGTCTAAATGACCCCAGACATCTTGAAAAATGTCAAATCAAAGTGCACACTACTCACACAGCATGAAGAGTCTCACTTTTGCTGAACACAAAGTTGTTCCTTTGGTTCTAAGGGTGGACACCAACATAGTTGGTTTTTCTTTATTCTTTTTTTTCCTTTTTTCTGTGATAGGGATTAAACCCAGGACCTTCTCACTAAGCTAAACTATATCCCCAGCCCTTTTCTCATTTAAAATAAATTTGAATCAGGTTGGGCTCAAACTTGCAATCTTTCTGCCTCAGCCTCTCAGAATACTGAGATTACAGGCATGCACCACTATGTCCAGCTACCAAGAAAGTTTTGTTGTTTGTTTCTTTTTTGGTACCGAGGATCGAACTCGTGTCCTTGGGCTTGCGCAGCAGCCGGTGAAACCACTAAGCTAAATCCCCGGACCCCAACAAAGTTTTTGATGAGAAATTTCTCCCCAAGATTATTGAAAAGGAAAGACTACACATACACACACATACAGTGAGAGTGCAGTTAGGGGTCACCTTTTCTCCTCTTCTAGTTGGTTAAGAAGCTCCACCTTCTCCCTGTCAGCTGCTTCCACCATTGTTCGTAGCTGGTCCATCTTGGCCTCCAATTCCAGGACATGCTGGGGAAGCAAAGATGTCAGCGAGCAGCCCAACTCCAATCCAGGCTCAGGCCCAGAGGTGCCTCCAGTCACAGGGATCACCATGCTGGGTGACCGTTACTCTAAAGCCTTCACAAGTTGAAATGCTACCTCACTGGATTATTCTGGGCAGGTTTCCTGGACACTAGATGAAAAACTACACCATTAAATCAACAGAGGACAACATTAAAACAACTCTCATCTTTTCCAAAGCAGAAACACATGTCAAAAATAATCTACAGAAAGGAGCTAATCACTGCTCCAGCTCTAGCAAACAAGGTGGCTTAACACAGACAGGCCCAAAGTCCTGGACATAAAGACCAAAAGACTAAAGCAGAGTTGACAAGAACAAAATTTTAACTTTACAATGATGGAAACCGTCACTCAGGTCACAGCTTTCAAACAAGCTCAGCAAAGAAAGTGATGCTCATTTCCGGTACTCTCAAGTCTAGCTCGCTGGCTCCAAGCACCATGGACACCTTTCAGCCTCAATTTAGAAATGATCACCACCTCCACAACAATGTCAGCACCAGACTTCACCTGGTCATGCCCGTCCCGAGCCAGGGCTAGCTCCTGCTCTATCTCCCCCACGTGGCTGGTGGCTTTGGCCACCTCGGCCCGCTCCAGGTCCCGCTCAGCCAGCAGCTGTTCAATGTGCTGCTGCTTCTCCTTCAGCGCCTCCTGAAGGGCAGTGGTGCCCGAGATCTTGCGGGCGTAGCGGGAAGAGGTCTCAGTCAACTGCAAAGGAAAGTTAGAGAGGTGAAGGGCAATGATGCTATGGGAACAGGGGCAGCGATGCATGCATGGCAATGTCTCCTCAATAAAGCAAGAGCACTGCCCGGGCTCGTAAGCTTGCCACATCCTAAGCAGGACTTTGCAGCAAGAAAACAAGCAACTCACACCTCTGTCTTTCGCCTCACAAAGAGCTCTTCAGTGGAACGCACTCATGAAACAACTGAAGCATGTTTAGAACACACGGGTCAAATCACAGGGAATCTGAGCTTGGCTGACAGTGCCTTGCAGGGATCTAGAAACATTTCCTCTTCTTGACCGTCAGGCGTAGTGGCTCAATCCTGTAATCCCAGCATTCGGGAGGCTGAGGAAGGAGGATCGCCACAAGGAGGCCATTCTGGGCTTTGTAGTGAGTTCAAGGCCAGCCTGAACTGCTTAAGAAGACACTGTCTCAAAAATTAAAAAGTTATCTTCTTGTGATGACATTTGGGCCAATCTTTTGATCCAGAGACTTGAGGTAGAGCCTTGTTTAAACTTCTTAAGCTTCTAAATACCATTAAGCTATGAAACAGTCACCCTGGAGTCACAAACCTCCATTCCTGGTTGGATAGTTGAATTTTTGTCAGGATTTTCTACATCTTTCTTTCAAAGGGAAAGGCAGGGAGATCTTACCCAGAATTCCAGCCTCTAGGATCTGAACCCTAATCACCAGAGAGATTGACAGAGATGAAAAGTAAAATTCTCTGCCTTCCCAAGTGTGTGGCATGAGTGAGTGTGTCTGGGCACATATACACACGAGAGAGAAGAAAAAAGGAAATTTGTGAAGAGAGGGAAGTAGTAGATAAGGAGAAAGGAACAAGGAAAAAAGGCAACAGAGAGAGGGGAGAAATGAGAGGAAAAACAGCAGTGGAGTGGGGAGAAAGACAGGAAGGGAGTCAGGGGGCTCCAGTTCAGTCATCTGCTAGTCTCTGCTGTTTCACATACCCAGTTCCTCCAACTCGGGCGAACAGTCACGCAAAAACCAGAGAAAATGACCCTGACAACTGCCCATAGGTGACTGTGTAAGTAGAACCACTCATTCCTCTGCCTGTGGCTTCGCAGCTGGGAGGAAGGGAGGAGACAGCCTCCTCCCTTGGCAAGTGTTTGTCCAAGGCTTTTCCTCAGCAAAGACAGGCTCTAGAGCAATTGAGCCATTACCTCATCTTCTGCAATCAAAGCTTCATTTGTTGCCAGAGACCTCTTCTCTTCAGCAGTCTGTAGAACCCTCACTGCAGGATGTACACGGATGGCAAGGAGCATTCATCAATTAATAACGCAGAAATTTGATAACTATGAGGGTAAATGAATCCAATCAAACTCAAACTGCCCTCTGCTCTTTCAGGTAGTGAAATTTCTTAAACACATTGGATGGGAATTTCTCTTCTCTCTTTTAACCATCTGTCGCACTTTCATTAGATGGTTTAATTATACTTTTTCTGACATCTCCTCCTGAGGTTCCCATCCAGCCTGTAATCCCAGCACTCTAAGAGGCTGAGGCAGGAGGATAACAAGTTCTGGCAGTCTGGGCAACTTAGTGAGACCCTGTCTCAAAATAAAAAATAGAAGGGCTAGGGGTGTGCCTTAGTGTGAAGGTAAAGTGTTCATTTCCCAGTACCACAAAAAAAAAAGCACAGCTCCTAAACCATGTGCAGAGATGCCCCAGAGGGTATTCTCAAACTCCAAGGGCACTGCAGGATGTTTTAAGACATCAAGAGAAACAGAGGTGGGGCCAGGGATTTAGCTCAGTGGTTCCACTGCCTGCCTCGCAGGTGTAAGGTAATGAGTTCTATCCCTGGTACCAAAAAAAATTTAAAAATTTTAAAAAAGAGAAACAGAGTTCTCTGCTGGACACCATGCAAATGACTAGACCAAGACAACTCATCTCTGACATTAGATTTTATTCCATTCCTTTCAATAACTTTGCAAAGCTAGATTTTGGCTTCTGCCAAGAAAGAAAAGAAAGAAAGAAAAAAAAAACCAGTACTGTATAAAAATCAATATAGCACAAGAAATGAAGGTGGCAGTGATAGAAATGATTCCAAGATTTGATGAGATGTGCTGTGCCCAACAGGAGCATAAAACCTAACCATAAGTCATTGCAGTTACTGAAGAATAAGTAAAAAATATTCATTTTTTTCAACTTGTTTTCTAGGACAAAAACACAACTCTTGAGTAACATAGCTGAAACTGTACTTTCAATGATTCAACATCCTTGGCTGGGGATTTAGCTCAGTAGCGCTGTGCCTGCCTGGCAAGCGCAAGGTCCTGAGTTCGAGCCCCAGTACCAGGAAAAAAAACAACAACAAAAGATTTGATATCCTTGTCATATTCTTTCCCAGTTGCTTTGGTTTAGAAACTACAGCATCCTACATGAAGATACACAGAAACAAGCTGTTGCACAAGGTTAGGAGATTCATTTCTCTTTTGCCAGTTTTCTTCACTGAATAAGCTGAGCTCATAGAAATCAAGACTTGTCTGAAAGTCTGTCAAGAGACCGGTGGGAGCAAGGAGAGCTTTGCAATCCCAAAGAAGGACACTTGTCATTTACAAGGCATGGAAAATTCCTCAAGAAAGAGTTCCATCTCGCAGCAGACACTCCCAAAGAACTGTTCTTGTAACAGAGAAGGAGACAAGATGTCTGAAGTGGAGCTTGAGTCATTTCTACAAGGCTTCATTTCATTATTCTTGTCACCCTTTCCCGTAAGAGCCCACCTGTCACTTTTCTGTTGAGATGCAGCCCTTCTTTCCATATACAAACAGAAATAGTCCACTTGGCCCTTATCTGACCAGAGTATAAGAGGAAGAAACTAGCCCACACTTAGAGACCCCACCACCACTCCTCTCTCTGCCTGACGGCAACGGAAGAGAAGCCAAAACCAGATCAAGGACTAGAAACCCCAGTGCCCTGCTCCGCCATGTAACTTCCTAATGCCTGTCTGAGGTCTGCTCTCAGGAAGTACAGATCCTGAATTTAGTTGGGAGTGGAATCCTGTGCTTTGATTTCTGATGTCAATAGCACCTGCTTCACTTCAAATGAATAAACTCAAGGGCACAGGATGAAGCTGAAACAGGCATTGCTTTTAACCCAAATACAGTACCATGTTAACGAAAAGAATCCAGCACTATTTTAATTCTGATGATTCTATTTTCACTGCTGTAAATAGGAAGGAGACAGTGAGGGGGACCAGGAGCAAGAGATGAAGATGGAGGGGACACAAAGTACAACAGGGCTCTTTAAGTTCAACAAGGTCCCCTCCGCGTCCTCTGGACTATGTCAGGAAAACTCCACACATTAACTACTTTCACTGGCCTAGATCGTATTACTATTACAATTCTAAGAACATGACTTTTTTCAAAATACTTTGGTTCCTAAAATTGTTAGAAGTCAAAGAGAAAAAGAACTATAGTATGTACTTAAAGAAAAGGAGTCCTCTTATCTTCCTGTCATTTTTAGCCCAAAATAATTTCAGAGAAAAAAAATAAGCAGTAGTTCACCAGGAAGTGATAGATTTTCAAATCTTTATGAATCTGAAAAGCATTATTAAAAATACTTTTCTAATCCCTGGTAGAAAAAAAAAACTTTTCTATTTCAAATGTCATGTTCCTGCTGGAGCAACATTTGCACCTTCCAATAAGCAACAGCCAACATTCAGCATGAGGACAAGCAGGGCAGGGCAGGGCACGGGTAGCAGAGGATGCAGCAAGGAGTGGGAGGGAGGCTCACCAGGCCTGTCCGGCTGGGCTTGCTGCTTACAGAGGAGGCCACTGAGCTCATGGAGCTGAGGGAGGAGGCAGACGGGCTACGCTTCAGGCTGACAGGTGTGGTGGCCATCACTCGTCGCACGGCGGCAGCCTTGGCTTTGGCTGGTGTGGTTGAAGGGAAGCCAATCCTGGTCACTTTGTGGACAGGAGCAAACAAGCCATACTTGGGTTGACATTGAAAATACCTTTAGAGAGGATCAACAGTAATGAGAAACAACTTAATTACAAGAAGTAACAACAATGACAAAAGACCTCTCCCAGCCCCCAGCCAAGACTCCTAAGCCGGGAGTCCCACCTGGAAGCTGGGTGCACACAGTCTGTGGCCTGCTCGTGCATGCAGGTGGACACAGACCATCAAGGGTGTTCTGGGAACCACACTGGACCTATGTGATACCTAGAGAGGGGGCTGCTTGAAGTTGAGTTTCTATGCAAAGAGCATAAATGTTACTATCATCTGATAAATGTACAGCAGAGGAGTTCAGCTTAATAAATCCATCCCAGGCAGGTTTTATTTATTACCAAGATTCTTCCTCAAAATAAAAAGTGAAAAGGGCTGGGGATAGCACTCAGTGTGGAGGTCCTGTGCTCAATCCAAATACGGGCAGGGGGACAACAAGCTGAATAAAGGAGAAAAGAAATCAAGCTTCTGCCTGTGGCAGATCCACTAACATCAACACAGAGAAATATTAACTAGTAAGTCAGTTATCAAGAGTGACACTAGAGATCCTGGCTCAAGAAGTACGATGTTTTAACATGAAGTGATGGCCTTAGAACCACTGATGTATCAAGAGATTTTTTTCCAATGATGACTATCATTATATTGTATACTTAAAATGTACCAATAAAATTAATTAATTTTTTTTTAAAAAGAGAGATTTTTATCTCCAGGAATCATTTTGTTTTGGTAGATTAAGCCCATGTGCTTATAATCAATGTTTATTTGTTTTTTCTTTTGAGACAGGGACTCACTATGTAGCCCAGGCTGGCCTTGGGCTTGCAGCAATCTCCTGCCTCAGCTGCTCAGTGCTCAGATTATAAGTGTGCACAGGGCCGCGGATTTAGCTCAGTGGTTCCGCTGCCTGCCTCACAACTGCAAGGACCCGAGTTCGATCCCCAGTACCAAAAAAAAAAAAAACATTAAGTGTGCGTGCATGCATCATGCCTGGCTCTTAATCAATATGCTACAGTATATGTATGTATGTGTGTGTGTGTGTGTATGTATGTATGTATGTATGTGTGTGTGTGTGTGTGTGTGTATATATATATATATATATATATATATGTATATATATATATATTTTTTTTTTTTTTTGGTACCAGAGATCAAACTCAGGACCTTGTGCTTGTGAAGCAGGCAGCAGCACCACTAAGCTAAATCCCAGGCCCAATTATGTTAACTACAATATTTTGGTGATCAACTGACATATTTATATGTATTGTATACTTAGTAATAATAATGCTTCCTCTACCACATCTGTACCTACGGGCTTCAAAACATTTGAAAAGTAGTGTGGGAGCGGTAAAGTGTGGTGGCGCATCCCTGTAATACCAGATGCTCACGAGTTCTGAGGCAACAGGATTACAAATTTGCAAATTCAAGGCCAGCCTGGGAAACTTTGCAAAACATGTCTCAAAATGAAAAGGGCTAGGAATAGGGCCAGGGATTTAGCTCAGTGGTTTCACTGCCTGCTGCGCAAGTGCAAGGACCTGAGTTCGACCCCTGGTACTTAAAAAAAAAAAAAAAAGGGCTAGGGATAAAGCTCAATGGTTAAGCACAACTGGACTCTATCTTTGGTACTTGGAGGAAAAAAAAAAAAAAGCTTGAGAAATACCTCTTACATTCCTTTGTACTATTTCACTCCCACCTGTACTCACATCCTATACCAGGAGGCAAAAGTGAGGTTACCCTTGCATGGAGAGATTTGCTTACCAGCCAGTCCCTTGCCACAGGATGCAATTCTTAACAGACATTTCCTAACAAAGGTAGTCACCTTCTCTTTCTCTCATTCCACCCCAAGACACCTAGGAACTTGCAGAGATCGACTGCTATCAAAAGGAAAAGAAATCCAAAGGATAGCATTTCTTTTCTATTTTGAAAAATAAACCTAATGTCTACTCAGAATCTACTCAGATATACCTCACATATTACTAAACAGGTAGTCAAAAGAACAACTGCAATTCTAGTGTGTGGGGGGGAACAGGTTGCTGGACATAGCAGCTCATAGCTGTAATCCCAGATACTCGGGAGGCTGAGGCAAGAGGATCACAAGTTCCAGGCCAGCCTGGACAACTTAGTGAGACCCTGTTTTAAAAATTAAAATAGTGGGCCGGGGATTTAGCTCAGTGGTTTCCCCGCCTGCTGCGCTAACACAAGGACCCAAGTTCGATCCCCGGTACAAAAAAAAATTAAAATAGTAGTAATTTTTAAAAAATTTTAAGGGTTGGGATGTAGCTCAGTGGCAGAGCACCTCTGGGTTCAATCCCCAACACTGAATAAAAGAGGAGAGGGCCGGGGATTTAGCTCTGTGGCACCGTGTCTGCACAAGGTCCTGAGTTCAATCCCCGGTACTGCAAAAAAAAAAAGGGGAGAGAACCCAGTAGGCAGGAAATAAAAGTGCAGCCCTTCAGAGGACTTGTTTCCATTTTATTCCACATTTGAGATCCATTGAAGCACTTCTACATGCAAGATGGACACATGATGTCAGGTAATTCTAAACCAACCTTGTTCCCGCGACAGCACCATCGTTCTTCCCAAGAGGTTCATCCAACTCCACACCACACCATTCTCCCTTGGCAAAGTCAGTCTCCCCCAGAAACCGGACCACACCAGCCTTGGTGCCACCAACCTGGAAGAAGAGAAGGTTCAAATGAAGACAGGGACATAATTCCATAGCCCAGTGGTTAAGTGGTGCATCCTATCCTTTCCATCAGCAGCTACTTTGTCTTCTCTTCAATTCTCCAAGAGTTCTCACAAAGACACACTGGCAAAGTTACCCAGGGACTTACACTGCCAGAGTGATTCGATACTTGATTTGTCCAATAATGAAACAGCCTATACAATATGTCAACATTCGGGCTGTCCACCAAATTACTCATTCTCGTCCTTAGAATACTTTATCACTACAGAGCAATTTTCCTGGCTGGAAATAAGTATTTGCTACAAAATAAAGACCCTACATCATCAAAAGGAAGCAAAATTCATCTGTGATTCCTAGACCAGGCGTGGTGGTGCACACCTGTAATCCCAGCACCTGGGAGGCTGAGACAAGAGGATCCCCATGAGTTCAAGGCTAGCCTGGGCTACACAGGGAGTTCAGGGCCAACTACAGTGATACCCTGTTTCTAAAAAACAAAACAAAACAAAAAAATTCATCTCTAATTCCTTTATTAACAATCAGTGTGGTATCGTAGCCAATGAGCTTTATCCAAGGCACGATTATTCCTAATTGAAACAATCAGTGTTTATTTTTTTCAGACTTTCTTTATATACTAGCCATGAAAGCAACGACAAGTGTATATTAAGGACAAACAAGCTATTACTGTAACTCTTCAAAATATTCTTTCATTTGCTCACTTTTTTCTGACTTTTTTAAAATTTCTTTTTCAAAAATTTCTCCATCCATAAAGGAGATCACTGCAGGAAATTAAGAACACGACAAGGGCCAGGGATTTAGCTCAGTGGTTTCGCCACCTGCTGCGCAGGCGCAAGACCCGAGTTCAATCCCCGGTACCAAAAAAAAAAAAAACATGACAAACAAAATACTAAGTATAATGTTGTTCCCATCCAGAGACAGTTGCTGCTGAAATTCTGATTCATTTTCCCCTCCATGGTGCTATGTTTCCCCTGACCAAAACCATGTTCAGGCTCGTCCCACTGCAGCACAGGGAGGTACCGGAGACTGACCAAGCCCCAAGCTGACTGCTTGAGGACTGTGGTGAAGGATAAAAGACAAAAACAATCTTGCAGATAAATGGGGGGTTGGGAGGTCAGTGCTTCAGCTCAGGCAAAAGATAAAGACTCTCCAAGCTTCTTGCCACTATTTATCAAGTACACACAAACAATGGGCGGTGTGTATGTGTGTATGTGTGTGTATGTGTGTGTGTGTGTGTGTGTGAGTGACTCAAAGAACAGCTATGGTGTGTGCATGGTAGGTACAACAGGCTAGTAAAAGAAGAACAAAGCATTCTTGTAAGAATAGAGTATAAGAGCTGGGATGTAGCTCAGTGGTGCAGAGTGCTTGCCTGGCCAACATGAGGCCCTAAGTTTGATTCCTGGTTCCAAAGAAAAAAAAGGAATAGAGTGTAAGCTCATAGAGAACCTGATTTTTCTCCCAACGTGACTTTAACCTCTAATCTACTGCACTGCTCTGAAGAGTCAGGTCCTTAGCAGATGTCATCTTGTCCTATGAGTATCACAGCTTTTTGGGTTTTCCCTCCTTCAGCAAGCAGTCTTGGCATACCAACATGCCCACAGGCAAAATACACGGGGAGGAGCCTGGTGGGCGGTACTAGGCCACATAGGCCCTGCCTTCTGCATGAGTGAGTTTAACTCTTCCGGACTGGATCAGCTCTTGGGAAACCAGGCTGATATAAAGTGAGTGGCTCTCTCTAGCTTCCCCTCCCCAACACACTGCTTGCCTTTCTGCCATGAAGTCCTCCCCAGAAACTTACCGGATGCTTAAACCATATGCTTGGACTCTCAGCCTCCAGAATCATGAGCTAATAAAACTCTTTTCTATCTAAACTTCCCAGCCTCAGGAATTCTGATGTAGTAGTAGAAAATGCAAGCATGTTGTGGTAGCTATTTAGTATTCCACAGAACAGATGTATCTCAAAATGCATTTTTCTTATTTCTCTTTTGGGATTAAAAACTCTTTTTAAGTTTTCTGAGACAGGGTCTCAAAAATAGTACATATCAAAATTGTATAGTGTAGGCTGATCTTGAAAAGCTTTTTATAAAACTGGTTTAAGCAACAAAAGAAGTAATGATTTCAAGGCCGTGTGAGCAAAAAGGGCACATGAAAGAAGCACCAGGACATTCAGAACTATGCTGGTGTTGTGATGGGTACCAATAACAAAGCTGGAGCTAGAAGGTGAAGAAAACTCCATGGGCAGTGGCTCTGCTCTTTGTCAACTCTACCTGCACAGTGCAGAATTCAACAGCTGAATGAATGAAAAGTGACCTCAGCTGGGACACACACAGAAAAGGTTACTTTTAAGCCAGGTGTAGGGGTATGTGTCTGTAACCCCAACTACTTGGGAGGCTGAGGCAGGAGGATCCCAAGTAGAAGACCAGCCTGGACAGATTAGACCAGTGATGGCAAACCTTTTAGAGTTTTCAATGAAAACAACAGCATGCTGCAGCACACAGAGGTTAACTACCACTGGCTTAGACCCTTCAATCTTAAAAAAAAGTTAAAAGGGCTGGGTACATAGCTCAGCTCGAAGGCCCTAGGTTCAGTCTTTAGTACTAAGAAAATGAGAAAAAAAGTATAAGAAAAGAAAGCAAGAAAGGAGAGAGGGGAAAAAGGAAGGGCCACTGAACCACATAAAATAAGTAAAAGAAAAAAAGAATAAGGGCCGAGGATTTAGCTCAGTGGCCTGCCTTGCAAGTGCAAGGTCCTGAGTTCGATCCCCGGTACTGGGAAAAAGGAAAAGAAAAGAAAAGAAATAAAGAAACTGGGCATCGTGGCAAATCTGTAATCTCAACTGTCTGGGATGGTGGGGCAGGAGGATTGCAAGTTCAAGCCCAGCATGGGCAACTTAGTGACTTAGTAAAATCTCAAAAAGAAAAAGGAAAAAAAAAAGTCTGGGAATATAAATCAGTGTGAAGGACCTGGGTTCAATTCCTAGTACCACAGGGCAGGGGAATCCTGTGACAGACTGAATTTGAAGTTTTGATCCCTCTGAAGCAGAAATGGAAGAAATATACTAGTCAAGAGCATGGGTTCTAAACTAGAACACACAGGGAGCCAGTTGTACCTAGCAAATAGCCAAGTTATTTATGTGATTTCTAAATCGTGCTTCCTCATTAGTAAAACAGCACCTGCCTTGCAAGTGCAAGGTCCCAAGTTTGATCCCCTGTTCAAAAAAAAAAAAAAAATGCTCAGACAGGGAGGAGCCTGATGGCCGGCAGCAGTGAGTCTGTCCTTGCGAATAAGAGTCGGAGCTCCAGCCCAGGCGCTCCGGACTCTCACACTCTTGCTGGTATACACAGGACTGAGAGTCCCCTATACAAAACTAACTTCCATCATCTCTTCCTCAGAGTGGCAGTTTAATTAAAATCACACAAAGGGAACAGGTCACATTAGGTTAAGAATGATGCAATCCCCTCAGATAATCAGCTGAATTCTTTGGGAGTGAGTCAAAGTTACTGTTAACACAATTGTTTTTCCAAGAGGCATCTAACAGGCTGTGGTCTGTAACTCTCCAAGCAAACCAGACTTCACTCAGATGGCTTTACAAAAACAACCACTTACAAAGGATTGACTACTTCTACAAACGCACATAATATATATTTACCCTGAAAAATATGTCTTCCCACAAATTTGTCTAAAATGGATGATTACTAGGTCCTAGAATGGAACATTTTCTTACTCTTTTTCTCCTACCAAACTTGGAACTTCTGACTCATGAAACAGTAAGTTCAATTTCTCTTTCCCGTGAAAGATCATGAGTAATTATTCAAAACATCTTCAATGAAGACAGTAAGTCATATAAGTCCTAAAACCACTCAAACACTTTTCTACTTATTCATTCCATAGTCAAAAAATTTAAGCATTCAAACATGAGTTCATAAAGTCAGGTTTGACTTCTCATGTGTACCAGAGAATACAGAATACATAAGCCACTCTTTTCCAATCCTGCCCAATCAGCGGCACAGAGCCTGCCTGGTAAGCATGAGGCCCTAAATTCGGTTTCGGTACAAAAACAAATAAACAAACAAATAAAAACAACCTAACCTTGCCTAAGGTATCTATATTCTAGGCAGATATCAAGATTATTAAACTTGGTGTGTCAGCACAAGTCTGTAATTCCAGCACTCTGGGAGAGGCTGAGGCAGGACTGAGATTCAACCCGAACCTGGCCAATTCAGTGACTTAACGAGACTGTCTCAAAAAATAAAAGTAATGAAAGAGCTGGGGATACAGCTCAGTGTAAAGCCCTAGGTTCAATCCCCAGAACCAAAAGAATATATTTTATTTATTTATATATATATATTATATATATTTATATATATAATATATATATTTTTTTTAAGAGCAAGGCATGATGGTACATACTTGTAATTGCAGCAGTGTAGGAGACAGAGGCAGAAGGATCACAAATTCAAGCCCAGCCTGAGTGATTTAGTGAGACTGTCTTGAAGTAAAAAATTTTTTAAAGAGTTGGGGATGTAGCTCAGTGCACAGGTTCTAGGGTGATCCCCAATATGAATGAAGAAATCAAGACAGAAAGACAGACATTTTCAACAGTGAATCAAAAAGAGTGCCGGGTGTGGCAGCACCCACCTGTAATCCCAGCAGTCCAGAGGCTGAGGCATGAGGATTACCATGAATTCAAAACCAGCCTGGGTGTCACAGTGAGTTCAAGGTCAACCTGAACTACACAGTGAGACCTTGTCTCAAAAAAAAAAAAAAAACCAAAGATTTCCATAACAAGCACAGATAACTACAATGTCTTCTATTTCCTCTCAGGATATGAGCACATAACCCCTCACACTGGTCAATCTAAAACAGAAATGATGTCACCACTGGTGATAAAATTAATTTTTTTTTTTGAGGCAGGGTCTTGGTATGTAGTTGGGGCTGACCTTGAACTCACTATGTAGCCCAGGCTGAGCTCA